CCGGGGACGAACACGATATTCGAATCCGCCCTTTTCCCGAATAACGGGCATGATTTGCAAAGTGAGAATCGGGTTACAACAGTGGTATATCATGCAGAAGAAGGCAGAGAATCCAGTGGTATCAATATGATTTCGAAAGCTCTAACCGGCCTAACCGACCAGCATTCGTTAATTGTTTCATTTTGATTGGAATAATTTGATCACCATCACCAGACATTGAAACCGAACGGTCGCAAATTATCTCCAAACTTCAACGCTAACACATACATACGCCAAGAAGATAGGATGCTGGCACGTCTCTACAGATGCACAGACCTTTCAAACAAAGCTGGCAGCAGGCGGCTATTGCATCAGCAACGCCTTCCTTTTTCTCGACCAGGGTATCAGAAACAGACGGCAGAAACGCCGCCCGCTAGTGCATCTTCTCGTTCCGTCTCTACACATTAGCGCGGATGAGTTCCAGAGAGGCGGCGGAGGGCCTCAGCGGCTCGCTCTGCACGAGCAGCGAGCCGTTTTAATTTGTCTGCGCCCACCCAGCCCCCCCCCACTCCCAGCCCTACCCCTCTTGCATCGAACCGAGGAAACGTCAAGGCGCGGAGATGTAATTGAAATAAGACAGAGGCGCGGAGAAAAGGAGAAAATAAAAGAGCAAACAGGCTGAGTGAGAAAACAACAGCAATGTAAATAAACATTTCTATTTATCAGAGGCACACTTATTTTTCGATGTGATATCAGCTGCCAATAAGATGGCACATAAGTCTGACTGGAATTATTTAATGCACCAGTGAAATATGAGGAAGCAATTTGAGCCACAAGAACATACATCAAAACCTACTCAGCAGTCGATCAGTTATGGACACATTAGTCAAAACGTCAGGAAATCCAGCATAAATCATTGCAAATGGAGAACAAGACAGGCCTTATTTATGTGATCCTTTGGACGGCTAGTTCAGAGAATCACGCCTCGACACTGGCCACTACTTTCCACACCATGACGCTCCGTGGAAACCAAGCAGCAAGTGTCCTCAGCGACACGATAACTCCGTAACGGAGGGAGGCTCCAGTGCATGAGCTATCGCGCGTTAGGAGCGGGACGACTGGCCCCCAATACAGTGAGGAGGGATGAAGGGTGGGTTCGAGGGAGGCGAGCGATCCTAGACTGGGGGAAGGTGTGGCCTGCCAATGCAGCCCATGTGCGGTGGCATGGGTGTATGAAGGCGGTAGCCCCGCACAGTAAAAGCAGGGTTCCCGACCACTAAGCAGGGTTCCCGGCTCGTAGCACAGTTGGTCGGGACAACTGGCTCGCAGAACGACCCATCCATTGTCTCGCCGAGCGGAGTCGCCAATTGTGGCGGGGACATCCCATGGATGGAGCGGCCCAGACCGGTCTTGTTGCATGACAACTAGTGGTCCGTATGGGTTCGGAGTTCCGAAAGGTCACTTTCGGTTTATGGCTCACCGCCATTAGGAGTTCGCGGGTGTGGTTATTGCCATTCCATTGTGTTCCATTGTGTCTCATCAAATATGCAGATTCCTTCGTAATAAACCACTAATTTTACGGCTTACAGCTACGAAACATGCAACAGAGACTAAAACAATGTAATACATATGTAACGCAGTGGATATATCATGGAATGGAATTAACATTGAGCATGGCCTTTAAATAGCCACAGTTGAACGAACCTTTGCCTCTACAAATCACAATGGTCGTCTTGAGTTTCTGCCTGACCTTCGCCTTCCCTAAATAAGAAAAAAAAAAACTTCAAAAATTCCTTCATCGTATTCACCCTCGCCTCGGCACCGGACACGACGCGCATTCCTCTCTGATCCCGCCTTCGCTCAGACACCCGACGCTCAGACGCTCTTTGCCTTCGCTCAGCCTCTCTGGGAGTCCCTGTGAGATCCGCCGCCGCGCCGCGTGCGTCCGACAGCCGTCGACCCGACCCGGGGCTGTGGATCGGCCGCCGTGCCGCCGGGTCAGAGCGGACCGACAGCGGCCGTCTGCCGCCGGCCCTCCCAGCAGGAGTCGGTAATTGCCTGGGGTCGCCCCTCCCCCTCCCTCCCTCCGCCCGCTCACAGGGCAGGTATGCGGCGGACGGGCAAGGTCACGAAACCAACGTATGACCCCAGGCGGCGGAGGGAAGCCTCGCAACGGACAGTGGTCTGGTAACACTGGGGAGGGGGAAGGGGCAGAAATGGGCGGGGGCACGGGGCGCTTAGTAAAAATGTGTGGTCACATGAAGGCCATATATGGGCTACATTCGCCATAATGTCAAAACATTGGACAGACAAGCAGCTACAAGTAAGACTTCAGATTCGCCAAATTAGAATATGAAAAAGGCAAAAGCATCGGCTGATATTATCCGCAGATAATATAATTTCGTTCGGTACTAAGATGGGTGGTCGATAAAACTAGAAAATGCAAACACCTCAAGAAAATCCTTAATTGTTCGTAAAAGCGAGCACCCTTCCAGTCCACCAGACAGTTCTCAGGGTACCTACGCCGATATCCCCCCCCCCCCCCAGAACAAGGGGGCGGAGCGGAGGGGGACGGTCCCCTACGACAAATCCACCGACGTCGGCCTGCAATAGAGCGGTAAATGGCGCGAAACGGCGCCGTCTGGCGCGGGATGCCGGCTGGCCATTCGCGATAAACGGGGTCCGGCGCCAAGCCCGTGGTCCTCACGTTATTTGTTCCCGCTGATTGCAGAGAATTGCCGACAGAATTCTCAACGTACAAGCTGATGTTATTTTTGTAGGAAAATTGGTACAGTTAAAAAAGTTTGCGGACAAGGATTAGCGAAAAGCTAACCATGTAAAATTACATTGCAAACTATTGCAAAACAAAATCGCAATTGCAAACCTTTCCAGCTATATCGTCCAGTGCATTCAACGGACAACGCCATGAGGCCCAAACCATCCAAAGCCACCATTCACGTGCTGCCGAAAGCTGGTAGTGGCGGCGCGTTGGCCTGTTCCCTTCCTTTCCTTTTAGAAGGGACATAGGCAATGCTCAGAAGTTCGCCCAGGACAGATCGCCTCAGTACGTTTCTATCTCTGAGTTGACTGTCGGGGACCTCTGGGTTTTGCTGTACCACCTTGGGATGACCTGAGGCAAAAGAAGCGAGCAACAGCAAACACACAGGGGAGAGTTCTGGTGCCGGAATAAAAGGAAGAAAGGGAGAGGGAGAGGAAGAAAAGAGGAAGAGAAAGATCAGAAAGTGAAAGAAAGAGAAGGGAAAAAGAGAATGATAGATAAAGAAAGACAAAGCGAAAGATATGACTAAGAAAGAGAAAGAGAACGAAAAATCTAAAGAGGATATAGAAAGAAAAAAGGGAATGTTAAGAAATAGGTTAAGGGTCTGGGTATAGGAGGCAGGAGCGGGCCATCCATGCAACAGGAGCGGGAAAAAGAGAAAATGTAGGAATAAGGATTCTTCCTTATTATTCACTCCACGTGAATAGAGCAAGATGTAGTGATGAATAAACGTGGAAAGAAATGCCCCACATGGATATTCTTACGTTCTAGATATCGTGCGTGGCAAGCTAGAACGTGTGAATCGTGTGAATGAAGCCACGGCCGATGCCGATCCCATCCCACAAGCAAGACACGCCCAACGAGTCGCCTACATACGATCGGGCTGTTTGAAGACCAAGGCGGACGATATTGAGGACTCACGAGATGAGGAGGCACCGCATCGATTTGGATTCTCCATCGGTGCGGGATTTACTGCCTTGCTGCGGGAGCCTCGGTGAAATCCCGGCGAGGGCGCGGTCCCCATTCTAATGAAGTGGGCATTTTGTAGCGTTGACACTGGCTGCTGTTTTGACGGGCTCGGTCGAAGCCACAACACCGTCAACTTTCGGAGCAGACGCCGTGATAAGACAGGCGCAGACGGAGAGCGAGTTTGGTTTGAAAGGATTTGGATTCGATCAGACGGGGACAGTCCATGCTACTTAGGCATTTGGTGACGGTCTGTCCATGCTACTTAGGCATTTGGTCTGAGAGCCGAGAGGGGGCAATTATAATCAAGCGAGCACTTTAAGTTCACCTATTAAAATCAAATAAAAATGTGACACGGATTAAATGAGGATCGGAATTGCCTTATCCGCCGCAGGCCTCTTGAGGGTATAATTAGTACGGAAATGATGTAACGATCGGCTCGGAATTTTTAAAAAATTAGCCATGAATACCACCGAATCGTCAACAGAAAAGAGAAAAAGTGTACCTACCTACCTACAGAATAACCACAACATGAACAGTGAGTGATAATTATTGGTAAAAGCCCTGGATATCGTTTCAAAAAGCAATGCCAAACTCTGTATCGTTAAAAATAAATGTACCTAACGGACAAAATAGGTCAGGATGAGCACTGAGTAGTAGCACAGCACAGTGGACGGGCGACAAAATGGTACCAAATTCAGATTCATAATTGAATCTTTCCTACGGGGACCGTCCAATTTCACTTATCGGGCACTCGTAAGGCATTGATGCAATACCATGGACTCGAACCACGTGAAAGGATCTATCCTGCAGTGACCATATCTGATCAATCATCTTTTTGGAGTCCGCGACATGGTATGACGGATCCCGATGTTGAGGAAATGCATATACCTAATGAAATAGATACCAGGCGGCCCATTTGAAACGACACCCGTGGCAGTTCAGAACAAGATTGGTTTAAGCGAATCGACCGCGAAAACATGTTTACTCCGAAACCGCTTCAACTTTCAAGCACACAATAAACGTGTCACCGCGACCTTGATGAATGACGCATCGCATCCATATCCCATAACCATGCAGTGAAGTTTCAGTTGGAAATAAGCACTACCGATGAAATACGTTGAAGCTCATTTCTTATCCCAAGACCCATGACCTATCACCTAAGCCCCCCTATCATCACTAATCACTATCGCTGGCCAGTCGGTGAGTAGGCAATCACGTGCTAGTGCATGCACCCGACACAGCCCGCTGTAGATAGACACTTAGCGTCACTCACCTGTGGCTATCGCAGCGATAAAACACAACACCCCGCGCGATCGCATGGTGTCCTCGGAGTGCTGTCTTCAGCTACCAACAGGTTAGCATCAATACGGTGGTAACTTCCAGTCTCGTTCCTATGTATCACAGCCGTTCACAGCGTCACTCACCGCCCCGTCCACTTTCAGCACCGCGCGACGCACACACTGCACGAGCCCCACCGTAGCGCCGAGCGGCGACCGGTACCTGGAGAGGCGCCTCCGGGCATTCGGCCGCTCACCAATAGCTTGCGACATCTAGCGGGAAGACAGCAAAGCTGTAGTATCAAGGCATTCGGGATGAAGAGGGCGCGTTAGGGACAGGTGCCCAGGTGCGCTCATTTTTTATGAACTGCTATGGCTATTTTTCTCGCATCGAAAACAGTCATAAGTATATTTGAGAAAACCGATAATCCTTGTCAGAAATCCGCGCATAAGGCAGCGGATTAGCAGAGAGGAGGCGGTAAACTCAAAGACGAAACGCTGCTGGCCAGGACCTAACTTGAGGTTATGAATTAGGTCAATCGGGTCATTCCACGGCGGTCAACTAAGGGGTCAAGTAACTGGAGAGGGTTTTTATAGCGCTTCCCTGAATATGTTCTCTGACCAGCGACAGTTCGTTTTTTCAACTTTCAGGGGTTGTGGAAAATGTAACAATTGGTTCTGAGTTCCAAAGGAAAATGCAGCAAATGCCCTCTGTATCGCTATCTTTCGTTATACCACAGATTTATCGGTATTAACTGCCTCGGACATAGCCATCGATCATCATCCTCCAACCCAACTCCAATCCTTGCTCCAACCCTTCAACATATTGATGATTGCGCCAGGTTGCGCCAAAATTGCGCCAGCTTCCGACGTTACTTATTGTGTTTATAGTCGTAGCATTTTATGTTCTTTAATTTGATGACGTCATAGGACCAAACATTTCGTCTGACTTGCTCCAATGAATTTTAGGCGTACGGCTACCTGACGAATGAATTTGATTGAATTCAAATGACGATATAGAACTTATTTTGCATAACTTTTAAAAATAACCTTTTTTATTTCATGCTTGATTTTTTAGGCGGAGTGGCAAATGTTTACAAATTTTGTTTACTGTGTATTATTCAAGGTTCTGAGCCGCGTTCTTCGGTTGTTTCGTGGTTTATTTACTAGTTATCTAATTACTGACATAGCAGACTGCGAACATAGGAGGTACGTGAAAGATAGGCAGCTTTTTGTCTAAAGTAAAAAAAAATCAAATCAGAGTACTGAGTAGCTAGTCCATAGATATGTCAAGTTGCTCATGTTATTCATTTTTAGTTTTGTATTTACGTGTAATTTGATAAAGCCTAATGCAATTTCATGTTTTTTGGGGAATTCAGAAGATTTACAGGTATTGGCAATACTGCTATGCTTATGTATTTTGCCTTATAAGATGAATTGCCGATGTGAAAGAAGTAGGTACCTTTAATCTTTTTAGTTTGCTAAAAATGTGTTTTTTGTTTCAATTAACTGTTTTTAAGGATAACTGATTTCCTCTGAGATAAGCGAGAAATGAATAGTAATTCTTAAACTCACTCTTGCATAAGTTGGTTAATGTCAATTTTCACCATATTTCTGTCAGGTGCTGCAATTCGCAATGCCATCACCAGCACTTAGTGACCATGAGGTTAGCAGCACGAGCTCTCCGGGTGTGACTGCGGCAGCTGCAGACTCAGTAACTGATGGTGGCGGTGATGCTCTGCCGCACAGTACGAGTGCAGATAGCCAGGTCAGCACCATCCAGGGTTGCAGTGGGTTGGGTCCAGTTCGTAATTTGATCTGGTTTGGTCATGATCACTTTGGAGCCAGGACGTGGACACTATGCTTAAACCATGACAGAGGAAATAGAATTATGCCTACACCCTTGGTCAGCCATTTTGAAGCTTCAATAAAATTTGTTTATTGTTTATTTGTATTATGTATATTGTGTAATGTAGGTGGAAATAAATCATTGTTCATCAAGATGCTTCATTTGCATGATATTTTAGTGGGTTCTGTTTTCCCTACTCAAAAGGCCATCAGTGTTTGTGATTGTCTCGAGTGGCCTTTCTTTTCTGTATCTCGATAGCATCTTACCTCGCTTATCTTTCTAACAGCTGTCTGACCAATTCCCACTGCAGGAGGACGGCTCTGCGGACGAGGGGGACGCGGACGACTGCATCTACCCGGCGGCCGGCTATGAGTACCTGGACCACCCCGCCGACGTGCAGATCCACGCCTGGGGCACTTCGCTGACGGAGGCCTACGAGCAGGCGGCGCTGGCCATGTTCGGCTACATGACAGACCTCGACACTGTGGAGGCGTGTGACACGCAGGAGGTCACCGCCCAGGGTCACGACCTCGAGTCGCTGCTCTTCCACTTCTTGGACGAGTTCCTGTTCATGTTCTCGGCGGAGCCGTTCTTCGTCGCCAGCCACGTGGAAATTGTCGAGTTTGACCGGGTGCAGTTCCGGATACGTGCCCGGGGCTACGGAGAGTCGTTTGACCTTGACAAACACCCTCAGGGCACCGAGGTCAAGGCAATCACGTACTCGAACCTGCAGGTCCATGATCATGAAGACCAACACGAGGTGTTTGTCATTGTGGACATTTAGTGTTGGTTGTAGTGGGGTGGGAGGGTGGGATGGATTGCGAGGATGTGCGGTTTGCAAATGGCAGTTGGTGCGATGTGGATCGGATGGTTTTCGTACAGAGTATGTGGTAAGGTGTGCCTGAGACATGTCTCCATTGTCGTTTGCCTTTTGAGTGAAATGAGTTGTTGACACTTTGACCGAGGCTCCTTGTTTTGTCGTGGCCATGACATGGTGTATCCGCTTTGCTTTGCTTTGCCTGGAGATGGTTGCGAGTCCTGTCACTTGATGTCTGATATTAGTTTCGCTTGTATTATTAGGGCGGTTGGTACTTTGTTCAGGACAACTATATGAACAGTTAATTTTTCATCTTGGAAGAGCTGTTCCCAAATTATTGTAAGCTAGGTTGATTTCTCTGCTAACAAACTTTACCTGGAAGTTGTGCTATATATTTAACTGAAGTGGAGAAGCACTTGAAACGTGAGCCCTAAAATTGAACATCGACTTGTGAATCATGAGTTACGACTTATTTATGTTTATATGTGATTAAATGCCTATCCACAAATGGATGTGGAGTTCAAATACACGTTGACATTTTATCGTTCCTTAGCTTTCTTCATTTCGTCTTTGTCCTTCATGAGCAGTGAAGGCAGTGATCTGGTATTTGATCGGTCACCATCCATCGGTCCCATAACTTATCGGGACCCGCCAACGATCCAACGCTTCTCAGTTCGATAGAGGGATGGAGGGTTTTGGTGTCCCTGCACAAGCACATTTCTGAACGCGACCTGAGATCGTTCTCAGGTCGCGAGAACACGGAAGTTTTCTCCGTGTCGGCTGTTGCGAGGCGTCCGAGCGGCGAGTTGGTGACGGCGAGTTCGAGACCTATAGAGTGTGCATACACTGCTCGCTTTCAACTGTATCAATGTACCTTATCAAAGCCACCATGATACCAGGGGCCATGATACAGTGGATCCGGTTAGACCCTGGTGGCCCGTGTCATGTCAACGTCTACCTGCGAACGTTTAGCTTTGGCTATGTTCTGGTTTAAAATCATGTCATTGAAACGGGGGCTACACTCCAATGGATATGGGCCATAGGGTCGTAGTGTGTCAAGAAGTCATCTTTTCTTTGTCATGGTCGGGTCTGAAACCGACCATTCAGCCATTCGAATTAAGTAGTATAGATTTAAGGTTATTTGGCGTGTTCGCCACTGTACTGGGAGCAAGGTAGGTATATAAAAAACCTACTGGGGTCTCTCGGTCTCGCCAGCTCTCGAGTCTAGTGCATTTATCATTGGTCGAATGATCGGATATTTCCATGCTGCTTTCAATAATAATTGCACTAGCTCTCGAATCTATTTAGTGCATTTATCATTGGTCGAATGATCGGATATATCCATGCTGTTTTCAATAATCCGTTAGATTTATTATTATTTGATCAATATTATTCATAAACTAAATAACATGTTCAGTTGCAGATCTGTTTATTTTATCTTTAACCACTTCTTATGCTAATCAGGCAAAAAATGAAGCCTGCATTTACGCTCAGATTCTAACAATTTTTATTTACCTACCTCTTCCTGATATCCTTGTGCGTCATTAATGTAATTAGCACGCCACAAACACAACGAAGAGGATTTCATAAGTTCAATGTTCTTTTTAGCTTGCTACTAGCACTGTTCACCGTGATCTAACACACTGATTGGTTTGTTTTTCCGCCTCTTGCGAGTGCATGCTAACTTTTAGCCTAGTACCGAACACACCGCAAAAGAATCTGTAAGAAAGAAGCGGGCGTGTGTTGAAAGTGGTTGAAAGTTGGTTGAAAGCGTTACAAGACGTGGGGCTTGGCGTGGGGTACCTAATATTGTTTATGTGTGGAGTGTTTCACAATTTTGTTTTGGTCATTTATTGTTCCTGAGCATTTGGCTTGGGTTTTCATTTTTATTACTATATTTTGAGTCCCGCGTGCAAGTTGAAGTCAGTACTGGGTATTGGTAAATGGTAAGTCTGGCGTCCCACGACCCATGAAAAAATTCCACAAGAAGTATTCTAGTGGAACCACAAGAATGCAGCTATGGGGACGCCAGACTTATTAATACCCAGTACTGTATAGGTACATCAGTAGATTTGCTGCCTCATTCCAATTTATTACGTAGTTACCTACCCAATTATTTCAGGAGGTGGAATTTGGAAAGTTCCTTAAAAGGTTCTTTGAATTCGGAATTTTTATTTTGCTTCCTGGACCCTGGTTCCCCTAGCCGGTAGCCCTGACCCAGTCTGCAAACTATGGCAATTTCGACGAGATCTCATTGGTGCGGGCTTGTTCGGCTGTTGCGGATTCAGTGCTGTGCGGATTTTGGCTGGGTGCAGTGTCAATTTAGCGTAGTGCAGTGCGGAATTGGCTTAGCGACGGACATGACAGACCAGATGAGATAGATTAGGAAAATTGAAGAAAAAGCGGTAAATATTTACTTTAGGTCCGCAATATTATTTTAACAAGAAAAAATGCACATTCTTACACTATTTGATGTCCTGAATTCAGATATGATGCTTAAATGCATCAAAAATGTAAAATAGGATACTTAAACCCCAGCACATTACACCGCACTGCTGCACAATACACACTGAAGAAAGCACGCTTCCGCGACAAAAACGAAACATACAACGCTGCCCTATAAAAGAAAAAATGATGCAGATATTCATTAGTTTTCGACTTTATGAAAATGACGTCATAATACCAAAGCACAAGAAAAACGGTGAATAAAAAAGAGAAAATATTTAGCAAAGGTAATAGAGCATGAGAAAATGATCAGAACATAACCAAACCTTACCTAACCTGACCTACTGATGTTTGCCTACTGGGGGAAAAGGAAAAAGTGACTTGCATGAATAGATTGCAAGCAATGGTAAGTCAAATATTTTTAGGTTAAGTGGTTATGCATCAGGCTTCAGGCCTTCGGCCTGAAGCCAGATACACAACCACTTAACCTAAAAATATTTGACTTACCATTGCCTGTAATCTCTCCTAAGGCATTGCCTTCGGCACTGCACCGCTCCGCCTCGATTATTTTGACGTCACTTTCCTTACAATTTATTATCATCCGTAATTTCGCTCAACCTTGATTGGACCATTTGTAGCGGGTGCGCCGCGCAGACACGTGGAGTTCCGGTCGGAGGTGGGGCCGTTGGTGGTGATACTGGTGATACTAGTGTACTGGTGCTTTTAAATTGGTTTCTAGAAAGAATAAGTATCAGAAATGAAATCAGGAGGTCTTAGAGTATCGTGTGAATGACTTTTATTTACCCCTCTGTTTTGCGGACCTAAAGTAAATAAATACCGAAAAAGCTTTGTTAGAGCTTTGACATGTAATTCAGTGTGCAGTGCTGGTGGTCCCATCAATCAAGTGGGTCGCCCGCAAGTTCGCAGTCTTCCCACTGTTACAGCACGAAACGCACCGCTCGGCTCTGTGAGGCGCCGGCGGTAGAGTGAGAGATGAGCAGGGCAATGGGATTATGGGAGGGATTCGATATGTGCACGGCCGATAGCGGGGCTACATCACTGCTACACCGCTTCTTGCGAACGATTTATCGGATATGTTTGACACAGCTAATAAGTTGCATCAAAAGAATCTGACGTTGTTGCCATTCCGCAGCATTCGTAAACGAGATGCGCTTGGCTCATGTGAGAATTTGGCATTGTCCCTCGGTGGTTAGGCGAAATGCACATGGCTGATGGCACTGTCAGCCCTTGAGGACCACCACTTTGCCGCGGCTAAGTGGTCAAATCCGCCGTGAATGACTTGCCGATCAGATTTATTGTAGGATACAACTGTCGACCCAACGAAAGACACCGAAATGCATGCATGAGATGAGATGATTCCACATTTAGCTGTTCATCTTGATCTGTTGATAGTTTCCCTACGCTTAATTTGTGATTCATGTTATCTATGGTGGTGTTCACAATAAATTTAATCGGGGGAAATTACCAGTTATTTTCGATGCAATCTGTGTAATAACTGCCACTGGAGAAATAAAGGTTGAACCCTAACCAGTAATCATCCTGGCATAGGAAAGCAGCAATGCCTCACCTAATGCCTAATATTACTTCTAGTACTGTGCCAAAAAAGTCCACTGTGCCTGTACTCATAGATCTAATGAACAGGATGTGATCCCCACGTAGATATGTTCGGAGCTCTTTTGAAATGCACTGTGTTTTTAATTTTTGTGATGCTTTTCACTTCTTCATGTGGTGCCACCATTGCACAGCTCATGTACGGCCTTTTTACCAGTCGTTGACTGTCATCCGTGGTCAAATAAACCTTTATGTATGTATGTAATATTACTTCTAATATTTCAAAATGTCAGCTTACCGTTAGAATAGAGAACTTACAGTTAGAGACGTACAGTTACTTACAGTTAGAGAACTATCAAAAATTCAAAAGACTCAGTTTCATAGGCTTCCAGTTGAAAATGTCATAAGGCATGTAATGGTGGTTTTTTCATTTCATTTAGTTTACACACAAATAAGCTTATTTGCCCTAGCTCAGGAATAGTATCGAATATCGATTGCATTTTTTTTCATTTTTAACATGTTCCATGACTTTATCATGCACCACAGTCTACATAAAGACACGATGCTGGTAAAGATAAGTTCATGCAAGCTCTAAGTCAAAAGTTATTGCGGAAAAACTGTTTTAGCAAAAAACGTTTATTTTGGCTGTTTTTGCCCCCTGCAGGCTAAAGCGTGTTGAAGGAGCTATTGAATACGCTTTTCCACGGCGCTGTAGCCCTATCCGTTGCTAAGCTGTGCGCCATGTTTCATGTTTAGCTAAGGTAAACATGATGTTCCTTTCATTTGAAGATGCGTGTGTCTGTCATGTGTATTTTGTCATGTGTATTTTAACCCTCGATCGTATAGGAGAGGGTCAAACGGACCCCCACCCCTTCGGTTTTTTCGCGAATAACGGGTAAAAATCGGCCGATCGCGACGAAACTTTCAATACCCTCGCTTTGATCAATTTTACACCTAACCCTTAAAATTTCATGACCCTGACCCAAGAAACCTTTCACCTGTGACCTACTTTTCGAGAGCATGTTTGGCCGGAATCGCGATTCGGCGTATGTCGGCTCGCATTAGCCGCGCGTTTGCAGTCTTTTGGTGGTTTTAAGCGTTGAAACATGTAATATGATGTTGCTGCGATGCAATAGGGACAGGGTGGTTGTCAAGGTCACCTGAAGGTCAGGTCAGGTCGTTGACCTGTGATGACCTCGGCTCACTTTTTCGAGTTTTACATGTTTTAGGTCGGTTTTCGAGCTGAATTCGAATTTAGCAGCCATTTGAATATTAACGAAGTAGTTTTAGTGCCTTCGTAACATGCTACGAAGCTGTTGGAAGTGGTTGACACCTACTACGAATACCCGGCAGGACCCCTACTGGTTGACCTGACCTGACCCGACCTGGCCAAAATGCATATAGGCATCTTTGATCAAAACTAACATGATATTCGTGATCGGCACCCCGAAAACACTCATAGCAGCCACACTTTACGTCGTTCTAACAAGTCCCGATTTTCCAGACTTTTCGGTTATTGACCTGACCTGGAAGGGCAACCAATGACCTAGAACCTTAAAATTGTGTATCATCGGTTTCCTCTTGTCACGGGCAATCCTCTCATTTTTTTCCGCGAAGCTCTAGCTCGATCAGGGGTGAAACGGCACGTTATACGTTCGCAGCTGGCAAAACATCAATATCGAATAGCAATGTGGGATTTTTTTTCAGTCAATACTTTCAGTTAATATGTTGGAAAAGATGCCTGACAATCAGCATACATTCACAGGGACCTTCTGAGTGGCTTGTCCTTGGGTTAATATCTGCTGGGATCCAGGCAGCGCTCAGTGTCAGAGCGCCGCACCTGTCAGCCGACCGCCGCTGTGCCCTGGTGGCGCCATGTGGCCGCCGGTGTACGCACACCACCACTCGTCGCGGTGCCGGCCGCCCACCAAGCCACTGGCGCCGCTCCAGTGGACCTATGAAATGCGCCGCGAGATGCAGGAAATCCTGCCGGGACTCTACCTCGGACCGTACAGCTCTGCCAGCCGGAATCAGGTGAGGTTCTGCGGTGCATCCTTGTGCTACCGGGGCTGATCGTTAGTGTGGGTGCAAATTTTACCTTATATTTAGTTGTTCATGACAAAAAAACGACCTCAGTTTTCAACTGATTTTTTTTTTTATAAGTTTATTTGTTGTGAACAGTGGCGCCTCAAATTGTTTGCTCACAGCAACTCTCTCAACACTTAAATGGTTTCCTTGTGCCTATATCATCTGATTTGCGTATCGTCACATGCATATCATTGTACATATGATATATCATAAATAACATGAATTCATGATTTAATGATGAAACATGATTCATGTTATCTATGGATATATCATATGATATACATGTATCATATGATCATACACCTATTCTCTTGAACGCCCAGATGCTCTCGACTCGACGTAATTTCACTAAATTTAGCCCAGCCCGACAACTGCGCACCGTTACCACGCTCAGTGCGGCCCAAACACCGCTGACAGCTCTCTTGCATCCACAGTTGGAGCGTCTCCAGCAGACGGGCATCACACACATCGTCTGTGTCAGACGGAGCGTGGAGGCGCACCTGATTCGGCCCAACTTTCCCAACCAGTTCCAGTGAGTGGGTGTGGGAGGCGGGAGTGGGGAGGGAGGCGGGTGCTGCGTATCAATGGGATATTGGGATGTAATGGGATATTGGGATATTGTGGTCTCAACCAGGTGTGTGACAATGTTTGAAGCAGGTAGGTACAGTAGGTCTACAAAATAAGTCCTCTCCGTATGCGGGCAGGTGGCGCCCGAGTAGCGCTCAGGCGCTAACTGCTCACTGTGACCCGCATACGACGGGGACTTATTTTGTAGACCTACTGTACTCTAGGCTGATTGGGTGGAGCGAGAAAATGAATGAAAAACGCATTCCGCCCCTCTTACATGGAACGGAGCCTTATGATGCTCTTCTGGCCAAATGCCTGTGTTGGTGTGTGCTGATATTTCATAGGTCCAGTTAATGCTCCCTCTTGGTCAGCTATCTTCAGTTTCGAGTGAAACCAATGGCTCGGGAGCTCCACATTTTCCTTCCCATCTATAGCCAGGTTTATATAGCTGAATAAGACTAGCGTCATTAACCACATCCCTCTCCATTCAGGTACCTGGAGGTGGAGCTGGCCGAGTCGCCCGAACTGTGGGTCCTCTCGCACGTTCCGCGCGTCACCGCCTTCCTTGACGACGCACTGTGCTCCGGCGGACGGGTGCTGGTGCACGGCAACCTGGGCGTCTCGCTCTCCGCTGCACTCATTGTGGCTTACGTGATGCGCCGTCTCTCGCTCAATCTCTCGTGAGTAGGGAGGTGTGGTGGGGGAGGTGGGTCAGGGCGAAAGGGATTGTCGCAGCTATGCTGGGCTGGTGTACGCTCGTTTCCTTCTCCATGGGGGTAATGCTATAAAACGGGCAGTGCGATATTAAAAGATTTATACGCTACACTGTAAAGATTGAAGGTCGGTTATCAATGTCGATGTATGTACCTTGTGTATGTATGCATTATCATTACATTTTTTATATTACCTTAATTGCGCACTTATGATTTAGGTGATACGGCCGAGACAAAATAGCTCACTCGTTTTTCCAACCTGGGGCACATCCTCTTTCTAATTATTGGAGTGTTATTATTATCTGCTTTTTTGGTGCTTGATTCGCGCTGATAGCGTGACTTTCCTTATTGTAATATGTATCATCCACTTTCACCTCCTCTTCGTCCACCTGCGGCGCTTCTGACATTCTGTCTGACCTCCTCTCCCCCCTCCGCCGGCAGGTCCCCTGACCTCTCCCCTTCCGTCCGGCAGACAGACCCTCTGACCTCCCTCTCCACCGACAGGCCCCCTGACCTCCCCCTCCGCCGTCCGCCGACAGGTCCCCTGACCTCCCCCTCCGTCCACCGACAGACCCCCTGACCTCCCGCTCCACCGGCAGACCTCTGACCTCCCCTTCCACCGACAGGTCCCCTGACCTCCCCATGTCCACCGGCAGCGCTGCCAGCGGGGTGGTGACGGCACGCCGCGACTGCGTCCGGCTCAGTCCCGACTTAGTGCGTCAACTGCACGAGTACGAGCCCATCTGCCGGGCTGAGAAGGCCTTCCTGGCCGGCCACGGCAGCAGCGGACGATGCCGCGCCAAACGCACCTGCGACCAGCTGGACGACGAGCCTGAGCCCATGGACATGACGTCCGCGTGAGCTAAGTGGCGCGTGAGCTACGTGCGCGTGAGCTACGGGAGTGTGAGCTGTTACCGCGCTCGTGCGTTGTGGCTGGCGTTGGCGCGGCGTGGCACGCACACAACGCGATTGGTAGGCTGTAGAGTTGCTGCTCGCGCTTCGGCCGAAGCCGGGGTTACCTTTTTGTACAGGTAGGTTTTCATAGGGTCTGTGGAAGGGTTTTCACATGATGTGGGGAGGGATTTTGTAGGTTTCGGAGCTGGGGTGGCGAGCTAGGTTTCGCAGAGGCTCTGACTCTTTGGGACGGATAATGTCGATGTCGGCATGCAGCGTCTGGCCCCGGCGTGCTGCAGGGCAGCAGGGGACGTTCGCTGAGGGTACGGCAGACTGTGTCGGTGCGGTGGAGCTTCCTGAGGGGACGGGCGTGGCGTAGGGCGTTCTTGGGTGTTTCTACACGCTACGGCAGCAGGACTGCCGACTGCTACGCTTGCCGAAGACTGGATCGCGATGGCGCGAATGCCACCTACATCTCGCTCCCCGTCCGGCAGCGGTGGACTGTCGGTGCTGGCCCAGGGGGCGCCAACCGGAGCCGCCACTGTGCTTCCGCTGCTAACAGCCCGAACTGTAGGCAGAAGTAACGCATTCATCACGCAGTGGTGTCCGCTGAGCTGACTTTGAGTGCACACAGACGTGGACACCTGTGCTCCACCAGTAGCAGAGCCGCTTTCACTGCCGAAATGCCGTCCAGACGGTGTGGGACGCTGTCCGGACGTCCCTGCAAGTCCGTAGTGGGGGGATTCTAGGGGTCCTGACCCCGGGGGCTTGGGTTAGGACTCATGCGAGTCTGGGACCCCAGCGCGGTCAGCGGGTTTAGCGAAAGCCGTCACCCTTTAGCCCTAGAAGTTTGAAAGGGAATGGTGGCTGGGTGGCTGCTCCGTTTGGTGCAGAGCACACCGATTAGTTTGCTTTCATGGTGTAGAATGCCGCCTCGGCTGTTTGCGACTGCATTACCATACCTTCTCACCATTGTTTTCACATTTTGTACCTTGTTCGATAGTTTTCCCCATTTCTCGACGTTTTGTCATATTCTTTGCGTAGTGTGTTGCGTTGTTTTACATCCCTTGCGTTACACGTAAAAGCCCATTTGGCTTAGTTTAGCTGTTAATTTTCACCGTTTATCGTTTTGTACGCCACACTTCCACAAGAGCATCTTTAGATCTGATTTGTGGTTTGAGTTGACCACGTTGTATCTCGATAAGTTTTGCGACTGTACGCTGTCTCTAGCTCAGATATCATGCACATTTTCATGTTTCGCTCACCATTATCCGTAGCTGTTGATTCGCACCGTTGATCGGTTTTGCACCATCCAAAGTACCCACATTACGTAGTTACCCCACGGCAGGTATTGGCTGTACAACTCTTGTGGTCGGTCCGGGACTTTGTGTGCGTCTTGTCTCCCGATGAGACGGGTTATTTATTTGCGTGGTGCGTCTCTCAGGTCGGGAGTTAGGGTGAGTGGTCTGCCGCTTTTGTCAAAACGAGTGGGAGTGTTTGAGCTATGGAGGGTACGTCCTGGATGGGTGTGTCTGTAAAGAGCTCTTGTACATTTGGTGAGTGTGTGGGCTAGCCAGTTTCAGCGTGACGACTTTCAGAGTTTGTATTTTTCTACTCGTGCGTTGCGTAATACACACAATGACGACCCGTTTTATTGGCGTCTCGTCTGAAGCGTACTCTTGTGAAGTTCACTGTGAAGTACACATATGCCATTCTCGATAGATGCAATCGTCAACACCCGTGATCGGCGATGGCTATACACATACTGCATCCCACTGGGTTCCTAGTTATTCCATTCCCACACTCCCATTTTTAATGCCCCAATTGCTCAGCTTCGGGGTGACATTGCGGGAAGTGATGGACGTTGCTCGAAAGTGCGGTGGGCGCCGATGACCACTGTAGTCCGGGCGCCCAAAAACCCCAATTCATCATCATCGAAAGTGCGACAAAATTAGCCAAAGAATTTTGTCGTACTTTCGTTGGTTGTGACTTGTGTTGGATGCGATAAAAAGTTAGTAACGTCGCGAAAACGTTACGGTCGTTACGAAGGGACGACGCTTGCCTTTTGGTGCGGCTCGCCGATTTAACGTCAGTTTTTTTCCCGTTTCTGTGATGTTTTTTTTCCTTGCAGCTGCTCCCTCTGCATCGTTTGTCCTCCCCTATCGACCTCGTCAGAAGGGGAAGGGAGATTGAACCCCATCCGGGCCCGACATTATTGCAATCGGCGTTGATTTCGCTTGATTTCAATTCCGGACGCGTCTTCCTGGTGATAAAGGTACGCTACTGGAGCTCAGGACGCTGCTTTTCTGGGAGGGGTGGCGATGAACGTCGTAAACCGAATGCCTGGGCGAGAAATGGAAATTCTGAGAGCGACCCTCACTGGTTCGAAGTCTGGTCGTCTTCTTGATGTGGGGGAGGGGGGGAGTGATACGCTCAGTGATGCCGTTTAGAGGAGAGCTGAGAAGGTTCGGTTGGAGTTCGGGTGGGCGAGCACGGGATAGCACCGACTGACAGCGCGTTTAAAGAGGCAATATTTTAATTTACTGGTAGTGCTGTGATGTATCCAATATGATTGGTGAGGAGATGCTAGATAAAAAACTGCCAAGCGCAAAATTAGGTAGTTTGCACTTGTCTTGTGGGTGCATTGTGTAAACTTGTGATGAAAACAAAGCGATGTTTTTTAGTTATTTTATATTGCACAGCACATCGATAGAAATGCTTCGGTGGCGGTCTGTGCCTTCCTCGAGCACAGTCCATACCTGATACAGAACACACATCGCTTCAGACCCGACGTAACCATTACATTTATCAGTCGCCCAATCGAGCAGTAATCTTGGCCCAGCGGCCAACCCACACTCTGTTTACAACTCACTTCAATCATTCCAATGCTACACCCCCCGTTACTATCATAGGAGATCCCACAATCGTACACTGATATGCCTTTCACGATCTGTCTCGACTGCTAAACCTACGTACTTCCCTGGCTGGCGATAATGTTCAGTTTTCAGTTCACTCATTACCGCCAAACGGTCAGCTGATCTCAGATTGTCAGAAACGTTTGACGTTCGACGAAGCTCGCTAGCACAAGCATTACAGCATTGGCCGTCAATGAGTTTGCATACATTTACAACATCAACATGTATACATCTACGGGCTGTGCTGATCCGTACACCCGTTGTCGGGGGAATGGAGCGATTCGCCGGAGCCGACATCTATTGGCGACCTTGATAACTTGCAGTTTTCTGTGTCGTCCGGAGCACAGATGAAGGTTTGTGTCGTCTCGGACGGGTTGTTCTTGGCATCAGAGTTGCTTGATATCGGCGGCTTGCTGATTGAAAGTTTATGCTGCAACACCAAATAAGTCTTACGTTACCAACCATTTGGTGATAGCCCTATATACGGCCTTGGGTGATAGCCTAGGTAGATGATACCTAAGCATACGTGTTTTGCGATACCTATTTAAGGCAATATTCGGCTTACTTCGTGGAAGGTAAAGGCAAGGCAAATAGGAAGCCGGATTGTTTTACATCTACATTTACCGAGGATGATCTTTCAACTCAGTTATTAACTTATTACTTTCTGCCATGACCGTAACCTAACACCTGCAAGTGACTTATCTCATTATGACGTCACCTGTGATGACGTCACGTCACTGCTGACGTCACTCTCGGCGTTGTGTCGCGGTGCGTCGTTCAGCTCTGTCTCGGCGTACAGTGACGAGCCGCTGTCGCTCGCGCTGCCGGCATCATCACTCGAGGCGCGACGCGACAGGCAAACGCCGAGCGTCGCGAGCGTGGCGCCATCTTTTGCGCCGGCCGGGAACGAGTGAGCGACGCGGTCGGCAGCAGGTGGCGCCAGTGGGTGCGGTGGCTGGAACTGGGCGCTTCGTACCGGCGCGCTGCGAGTCATCAGGTCAGGCAGGATGGTGAAATCGCTGCTGGAGCTGTCATAACTCGAGTCTGGAACACAGAAGTTAGCGCTTACGTGGCAACCATTTACGTACAAAATTAATGCTAACGCAAACTTCTAGCGTGACGATGGCAGACGAAAATGTAACGTTATGCATAGACTTCGCAGTGTTGCTACATTCCTCCAGCTTTTAAGAACCTTGCTCACCGTTCCGTGCTTCTATCCTCAGGAAACTGAAATCCTTCTCCCCAACGCCACAACCCCCTCCGGGCTGGACAGGCAACTTTATCTCATGCGGGCTGCTCCCTTGGAGCGGCACCGCTGCTCCCGAGGGAGCGCACCCCGTAGCCGGGTGCAGAGAGTGCTTGGGGGGCTGGTCGGCCTGTCCATTTGGACGGGCTCAGCCCCGGCGACTCTCTAGGGTGCCTGCCCAGACCAATGTCTCCCCCTAATTCCTATCATCCTCCCGGCTCTGAAATGGTCTTGTCAGACCGAAAGGGCCTAACCCAACAAAACAAAAAACAAAAACAAAAAGAACCTTGCTAAGCATTTCGTGATAGCCCAGAGTTTTGTTACCTACCCGGGGGTAGCGGCGGGGGTCGATAGTCACACTCGTAACAGCAGCACTCCTGATACGTGCCGCCGCTCAGCTGCGGCGAGTGTGGCACGCGACCGCGGCGATCGTGTCGCAGTCGCAGCGAGGGACGGCTGGCGCGGGATGACATCGAAGGGCCGCTGGTACCGTCCGACGAGAGTGACCGACCGGCCTGAGAATCGGCGCAGGACGCGTCATTCAGATGGGGCATAGACATTTATATGTTGTATTTATGTTCACATTGCAACTAGTTATTTATCGGTCCTTTCAATGCCTGAATGTGAAACTTTTGCACAAACGCTTACAACATGGAGTTGCCCGTCCTTCGTCTACCTACTGGTATTCTATTCATTTAGACCTCGTTCATAACGTGCATAACTATATCAATGTTTCTGCAATGCTAGTTATATCGTATCGTCCAGGGGCGGATCCAGAAAATCTCCAAGGGAGGGGCCATTAGAAACCAGGAGGCCCCCCCCCCCATAATCCCACCTGTTGGAGGCCCCATCTTCCCACTTGTTGGGCCCCCCCCAAAAAAAAACTGCGTCTATTGAGCTTATCTAGCTGTTCAGGCAACATCTCAACATCTGTGCAGGCTTGGAGGCCCTCTGTGCAGGCTAGGAGGCCCTGTAAAAGTGGTCATCTCTGTGAGTATAAGAGACCTCCAAGTTATGAAAAGCTTTACCAATCTTCTAACAAAGAAGTCTTCTCAGCTAGTCTTCTAAGAAATAACTAAGTGGGTAGGTTAAAAAAAAAACTCATCGGATTTCGGCCACTTTATTTTCAGGAGGCCCCCTTTTCAGCTTTTTAACTTTTTAACTTTTTATTTTATGTAGGAAGTATCATTAGAATATATGACCTTCTCCTCGGAAAATGACCAAATGAATGAAAATGATTATTTATTGATGAATTGATGATGTTTCGGTCACAGACCTTCGTCTAAATCGAATTCGTTAAATCGTACAAGGCAAAAGTAGCGAGTGAAATGCGCAACAATTGTCGACTGCCTGTAAAAAGTGAAAAATTCAAAATTTGTTTGTCTCGTGGTCGTCATGCAGGGCTAACATCACATTTCGAGGTTCGCATCGCTTTCGATCGTAAAAACGTATCAATATCAAATCGTACAACAATATCGAACAACAAAACATCAACAAAACATCTGATCATACACCCTAAAGATATCATGCACTTAAAAAGCAAAAATATAGCTACGCTCTAAAAGGTACACATGAGCAGAAGTTCGGTACAAACAGATTGGCAAAAGCATATTCATCTAAATACATGCTTGCTGGCAAGAGGGCGAAGCGCCGGCAAGACGGTGCAGCGCCTAGACCAGTGGTCGGCAGGCCCTCCGGGGTCGTGCCCCCTTTTCGGGCGCCAGGCAGGGCCATTACCCCCACCCTACCAGACACCATTGCATACACAACCGAGCTCACTGAAATGTCATACCTTTCCGTGACTCTTTGGGTATTTCGGGTATTATTATGTAAAAACGTCGGATCACGACACAATTTTACCCTCGAGCCGATCATTTTTTTATCTGCCATAAAACATGTCATACATTGACAGAAATAACTGTTGACTTGTTAGGCAGTTGTTTCTTGAGATCATGGAAGGTCATAAAATTTCAATTCTAGAAGGTACAGCGGGTACTGATCTACTACACAATTGTCATTGACCCTTTGAAAGTCTTAAGTCACCCAATGGCCAAGGAAGTTAACCGTCACCCGTATTGGTGTTTTGCCAGCCGCTAATTTATGGGGGGAGAAATTCGTTGGACCCCTATTTGTCGTTCGGCCCCTGATCAAGCATGAGCTTCGCGGAAAAAACGAGCGTGTTGCCCCTGACGAGAGGAAGCTGATGATACGCGATTTAAAGGTCCTAGGTCATTGATTGACCTTCCAGGTTGGCTCAATGACCCAAAAAGTCGGAGAATCGAGACCTGTCAGAACTTCGTAAAGTGAGGATGTTGTGGAGTTTGTCGGGGTACTGATCACGAATTTTATCTAAGTTTTGATCACAGATGTCTTCGTGCATTTAGGCCAGTTCGGGTCAGGTCAGGTCAACCAATAGGCGTCCTGTCGGGTATTCATAGTAGGCATCAACAACCACTGACAGCTTCGTAACATGTTACGAAGGCACCAAAATTACATGGTATATGTTCAAATGGTTGCGAAATTCTAGCTACAATGTATGAAATTGATAAACCTGTACTGAAAATATCATCGCGATCGGCCGCTTTTTGCGCGAGTTATTCGCGAAAACCCGAGGAAAAGGGGGTCCCCTATAAGTGCGAAGGTTAAAATTGGGTCGCAGCGTTTTCCTATCGTCACGGGTAGCACGTTCATTTTTCTACCGCAAAGCTCCAGTTCATATTTCAGAGGCCGAGAGGCTGGGGTCCGACCGGCCCCTCCCCGTTTACGTTAGCTGTTATGAAAACGCCAATAGAGGGGCGACGGTTAGCGTTCGATCTTTGAACCCTGAGACCAAACAGGCGTGATGTCTGTCCCATCAAGGGAGACATTAATTCTAAGATAAGGCTTTCTCAGAGGCCCCCATTACCCCCCGCCGAGGGGCTCCATTACCCCCAAAGGGGGCATGCCCCACCATTTGCCGACCCCTGGCCTAGACCCACAGCGGGCCTCGTGATGGATAGGTCAGGCGGCTGGCGGGGGGGGGGGGGGGGCGCGGCCGTCGCCGAGCAAAAGGTGTGCGTCATATATAGGTACACTGTACAACGTACATACATATAATGAGGTACACATACATGCACATACATGGTGAAATATCAAAAAACCAGTAAAATATATATAACATACACATCAAATCTAAAAATACAAAAATACAAAAATACAAAAAAGTCACACTACTCGCATGATAGGCCATGACGATCCCTGAATATTCAATGTCGGTGTCTCGCTCCTAATGAGTATGCTTTCAGCAATTTTCCTGTCTGGATGATCCTGGGCTCTGTAAGGCATGGACTCCCCCACGTAAGTGGCATCTTTTCCCTCGCTTTTGCATATGCTACATTGAATTTTGTAAACAACATTCTTTTGTGTGCAATCTCCTTTGAAGTCAGACATGCACAAGTGACATCTCTGGCCCCCTGGACATTTGGGTTTGCATATGGCTGATTTTGTTAGGGCGTTTTTTAGTTTGTTTTCGTTTTTCCATGCTATATGTACGCGTAGGTTTGACTTTCTCACGATAGATTTGATTTTCCGTGATAGTTGCTCGTCAATGAACGGCAACGTTAAAACCCGTCTATCTCGTCCGTCCCTTTCTTGCAGGGGCGTCGCCGACGGGGGGGTCGGGGGGGTCGTGACCCCCCCACTCTTGAAAACTGGGGGTGTCGACCCCCCCACTTTTTGCGATGCTGAGTATGCTTTTTTAGCTTTTATGTCAGTGAAGCAGGCGTCAGCAACACCAACAAATACATCAGATTCAAAATCGCTTCAAGAGCTCCCTAAAGCCAATTAGCCAATTACCTAAAGGTCAATTAGCTGTGGGCGGGGAACACCAGCACAACAATGTTGTGCTTGTGGATTGGACGCGCCAAAACTGCCCCGAGCGTTCGTCTGATCGTTTAAAAAAAAATGGTCGCAGTCGATTCGTCGGATCAGTACCTAACTACAAAACTACAAACTAGCCTCAGCCCCATGGCTACCGTCACAACTAGCTGTACAGTGCACATGTAGGGGAAAGGGAGTCATATGGAACCGTCTCGGGCTTTCGCAAAGAAGTCGCGCAAAAAGGAGCCGATTGCAACAAAACTTCCGGTGCGCTCGAGTTAATCACCTACTTAAAATAAATCGATATCCCTGATTCAAATAAAGATGACCTTAGTTCACTTTTTCATAACGTGCTTTTAATTGATAGGGTAGTTTTTGGAGCTGATTTTGAACTTAGCGCCCATCTGAACATTAAAGAAGTAGTTGTGTTGCTTATTCATATAACATGCTAGGAAGCAATCGGTGGTGGTCATCCACTATTAGGTACTGGTCGTTCTGACCTGACCTGATCTACCCCAAATGCATGGAGTCATCATCTTCGTTCAAAACTAAGATAACATTCGTAATCAGAACCTCGAAAAACCATCACAACTTACATTCGTTAAGTTCTAGCAGGTCCCGAGTTTCTCTACTTATTGGCGATGACCTGAGTCCTGAGATGACCCGAAAACTTGTAAATGGGTACCATCGGCTTTCTCTCGTCACGGGCAGCATGCTCTTTTTTCTGCAAACCTGTAGATCGATCAGGGGTCGAAAGCATGCCTCAGCGTTAGTTTAGTATACGTTAAATACGTTAGCGACTGGGAAACCACCAATAGAAGGGCTACAGTGAAGCAGAAAACTATTCGATAGCTCTTTTAACGCTCTTTCGCTAGCTTCGCGTTAGATTTCATCTCAGGTCTATGTTTGGCCCATAAGAAGGCAAACAGCTAACTGGACAGATTCTGCCTAAACATCTGCTTTGCAATAACTTTCGATTCCGTGAATTTGTATGGTATGTACATATGTTGTCTTGTCACCACCGTCTTGATCTCTTTGAGACGCGTCACATGAGTTAAAATTTGACCATTCAGAATTAACGTTAAAACGACCTCAGGTCAACGTTATGTCCTGATCGAAAAAGGACCTCCTGCTGCATATGAATGGATTCGTGTTGTTGAGCTGAACAGTGAACACCTTCCAGGTGCTGTCATCGCTCTACCGCGTCTTCGTCAAAAGTTGTAGAAAAAAATGCTGGTGGCCATCGATGGACATTTCCACTAATGACCTTTCGAGTCATCACTCGCCATAAGTTGCACCCTGTCCCTGGCAATGAATGAGTTGATTTGTCATGGCTCCAAAGATATTTTGCGTTTCTGACGAACTTTTTCAAAGCAGGAGGCATTCGTGCTTTTTCTAATTTCTCATTATTTTCTAATGATGAGGTCACGTATTTGACCTGCCTTCAGATCATAGATGTAAATCCTCAGTTAGAATCATGAATTGCTGACACGTATAACCCCATACATTAGGTACCTATACAGTGTACCAAATTTCGAAGTTATGGGAGAAAAGCTACAAGAATGGCGAGAGGGGAAACTCAGGAAAGTTTTTATAGAGGTATACCGTATAACTGAACTTGACATGGCGACCTGACCTTAAGTGACCAGTGATAATTTTTACGCAAGTGATGTAGGTAGGTATACCTACCTAATAGGTTATACCAAATTTGGCGGCGCTGCGCGCCGATTTGTTACACACGCACACACACACATACGCACGCACAAAACTGGGAAGTGTGGCAAAAAAACACCCCTACCCATCGGGTGAAGACTAGAAACCCGACCCTCCCCACTCAAAAATCCGTGGCGACGCCCCTGCTTTCTTGTTTCCCCCTCCGCTCTTGTTCCGTGGCTCTCTACCCCTTCTTGACCTTGACCGTTCTACCTCTCTGAGAAGTCTCCTTAACAGTTTCGGAGGATATCCGTTCTCTAAAAGTAACTGCCAGATCTTGTTGACGCTTCTGATTTCTTTTTCCTTGCTGGAAGAGTTGTTAAATGCCCTATGAAACATGTTTCGAATAATGTTATGCTTAGTACTTTGAGGATGTGCCGATGAGGAGTGCAGAATGATACCAGAATTTGTTGGCTTGATGAAAAGTTCTGTTTCCAGCGTTGTTTTTGCACCACGGGTCTCTACGGTTACGTAGGTGTCCAAGAAGGGCACCCCCACTCCATGACTACTGTGCTCCATAGTAAAGGATATGTTAGGATGTTGGTTGTTGAGGAACGCTAAAAAATCGTCCAATGTCTGCTGTCCGTGGTTCCAGATTCCCGCATAATCATCTACATATATACCGGGCTAGGAACGCTGGTTTCAAAGGGGAGTTCGCAAGGGCTTTGGTTTCAAAACGATCGAGGAATAAAATGGCCAGAGGCGGAGCGCAGGGGTTCCCCATAGCGAAGCCTACTTTTTGTCGGAAGTAGTCATTGTTGAAGGAGAAGACGTTGTCTCCAAGGCTCTGTTCCAGCAGGCGGGAAATGTCATCTTTTGTCAACCCAAATGTGTCGATCTCATCTCCATGCTCGTCTAGTTTTTCTCTTACTGCGTCTATGGCCTAATTTATCGGTATACTGCCATATAGGTTAACAACATCAATCGAGAAGAAAATGCTTTCCGCCTTGGGTTCGTTATCCTTTAAATTTGTGGACAATTTCTCAAGAAAATCCTTTGTGTCCCACAGGTGTGTAGGAACGAACTCGAGGAGCTGTTTTAAAATACGCTCCAGCAGGCAAGATGTCTTTTCGGTGGGACCACCACATGCTGAGACGACTGGCCTGAGGGGCACTGACGGTTTGTGGTCCTTAGGCAGTCCATAAAAAACGGGCGTCCTACTGTGTCCCGGCGTCAATTCCTTGATAGTCTGGTCTGGGAGTTTACCTCTAGCTACATTGAGAAGCGTTTGCTTAGCTCTAGCCTCTACTTGGGGGACGGGATTCTTGTTAAGCATGTCATAGTTGTTTCGATCATCCAATATGTTTAAAGCCTGCTGGAGCGTATTTTAAAACAGCTCCTCGAGTTCGTTCCTACACACCTGTGGGACACAAAGGATGTTCTTGAGAAATTGTCCACAAATTTAAAGGATAACGAACCCAAGGCGGAAAGCATTTTCTTCTCGATTGATGTTGTTAACCTATATGGCAGTATACCGATAAATGAGGCCATAGACGCAGTAAGAGAAAAACTAGACGAGCATGGAGATGAGATCGACACATTTGGGTTGACAAAAGATGACATTTCCCGCCTGCTGGAACAGAGCCTTGGAGACAACGTCTTCTCCTTCAACAATGACTACTTCCGACAAAAAGTAGGCATCGCTATGGGGAACCCCTGCGCTCCGCCTCTGGCCATTTTATTCCTCGATCGTTTTGAAACCAAAGCCCTTGCGAACTCCCCTTTGAAACCAGCGTTCCTAGCCCGGTATATAGATGATTATGCGGGAATCTGGAACCACGGACAGCAGGCATTGGACGATTTTTTAGCGTTCCTCAACAACCAACATCCTAACATATCCTTTACTATGGAGCACAGTAGTCATGGAGTGGGGGTGCCCTTCTTGGACACCTACGTAACCGTAGAGACCCGTGGTGCAAAAACAACGCTGGAAACAGAACTTTTCATCAAGCCAACAAATTCTGGTATCATTCTGCACTCCTCATCGGCACATCCTCAAAGTACTAAGCATAACATTATTCGAAACATGTTTCATAGGGCATTTAACAACTCTTCCAGCAAGGAAAAAGAAATCAGAAGCGTCAACAAGATCTGGCAGTTACTTTTAGAGAACGGATATCCTCCGAAACTGTTAAGGAGACTTCTCAGAGAGGTAGAACAGTCAAGGTCAAGAAGGGGTAGAGAGCCACGGAACAAGAGCGGAGGGGGAAACAAGAAAGGGACGGACGAGATAGACGGGTTTTTAACGTTGCCGTTCATTGACGAGCAACTATCACGGAAAATCAAATCTATCGTGAGAAAGTCAAACCTACGCGTACATATAGCATGGAAAAACGAAAACAAACTAAAAAACGCCCTAACAAAATCAGCCATATGCAAACCCAAATGTCCAGGGGGCCAGAGATGTCACTTGTGCATGTCTGACTTCAAAGGAGATTGCACACAAAAGAATGTTGTTTACAAAATTCAATGTAGCATATGCAAAAGCGAGGGAAAAGATGCCACTTACGTGGGGGAGTCCATGCGTCCAGTCCGTCTACGATATAATGAACACCGACGTGACGCTATCAATAGAACCCCCAACACTCCATTCGGTGACCACTTTCTGAAGGAGCACGTTTCACTGACTGATACGGGTTCAGATGTCTTACATCTTAGAATACTTTACAGAGCCCAGGATCATCCAGACAGGAAAATTGCTGAAAGCATACTCATTAGGAGCGAGACACCGACATTGAATATTCAGGGATCGTCATGGCCTATCATGCGAGTAGTGTGACTTTTTTGTATTTTTGTATTTTTGTATTTTTAGATTTGATGTGTATGTTATATATATTTTACTGGTTTTTTTGATATTTCACCATGTATGTGCATTTATGTGTACCTCATTATATGTATGTACGTTGTACAGTGTACCTATATATGACGCACACCTTTTGCTCGGCGACGGCCGCGCCCCCCCCCCCCCCCCGCCAGCCGCCTGACCTATCCATCACGAGGCCCGCTGTGGGTCTAGGCGCTGCACCGTCTTGCCGGCGCTTCGCCCTCTTGCCAGCAAGCATGTATTTAGATGAATATGCTTTTGCCAATCTGTTTGTACCGAACTTCTGCTCATGTGTACCTTTTAGAGCGTAGCTATATTTTTGCTTTTTAAGTGCATGATATCTTTAGGGTGTATGATCAGATGTTTTGTTGATGTTTTGTTGTTCGATATTGTTGTACGATTTGATATTGATACGTTTTTACGATCGAAAGCGATGCGAACCTCGAAATGTGATGTTAGCCCTGCATGACGACCACGAGACAAACAAATTTTGAATTTTTCACTTTCTACAGGCAGTCGACAATTGTTGCGCATTTCACTCGCTACTTTTGCCTTGTACGATTTAACGAATTCGATTTAGACGAAGGTCTGTGACCGAAATATCATCAATTCATCAATAAATAATCATTTTCATTCATTTGGTCATTTTCCGAGGAGAAGGTCATATATTCTAATGATACTTCCTACATTTATCATGCTCCTCGCAGCAGCTCTCAACGATATACGAAACTTTTTATTTTATTTTTGAAAAAAAATCGACCAAGGGGGGGGCATGGCCCCCATGCCCCCCCTTGTATCCGCGCCTGGTATCGTCTAACGTCTATTTTACCGTCTATCTTCTCACCCGTGGTCGAAGACTCCGCACTCTTCTCGTCAGTCGCTCCAGTTCTGACTCCGTCTCGGACTCCAGGCCCGAGGTCATGACCTGACCCGAGGTCATCAACTCCACCGACTCCCTGCCCCGCGAAGGAGCCCGCCTAACTCGCCGAACTTCTTTAGAACTTGGACCGGACGAGGAGGGCAGCTCGTTCACATAGATATGACACTCTTGTCCCAACTTGGTCTGCGCCGCCTCTGGTCCGCCTTCTGCGAGTCCCTCTAGGCTCACATCGCCCAGCTGATCATGTGGCTTGCTGTGTAGCTCATCGCGCCTTTCACGGGACTGAGCTGACCTCTGCGCGTTGCCGAGACTCGTCAGGAACAGGTCGTCCCTCAACCATAGGGTGTTCCGTGTCAGGACGTCGGGCCGTGGCTCTCGAGCGATCACCGGTAGCTTGACGTCAGCGTACATGGCTGTCGAGAGAGAAGGGATGCGGGATTTGTTTGTTTGTCGTTTATTCATGATTATGGGCATAGACAATGGAAGGAATACAGTTGAATAAAGTTAAAGGAATAACGTTCAGACGGTCTGTGATTGCAAATGATCTGATGATCTTTTCATCTCATTACGATTAGATGGTTTATCATCTGATTTCGTAAATAAGTGACGAACTTCATATTTGGTTCCCGGGCGATTTCGACGTGGTGGCCGATAACTAAACGGTTTACCCACGAGCCTCGCGCGTCGGACGCTGTCTGAATTAGACTCTCTTGTCGGATGACTTATGACACAATCACATTCACGATTTTCAATGGAACGCCTAGGTGCATATGAGAATATCAAAACTTTCCCATCCGGATCTGAAGTCGCCGTTCCGCCCAAATACTGGCACATGCCGTTCGAAGGCTGATGGGTCGATAAAGCCTGATGTGATCGAACGCTCCAGATGGGGCCATCATATGAGAACTGATTGGGAATCGGAACACGCGCACATTCGCTAGCGGATAGATCAACTATGATGCGCCTCATTTCAGCTTTTTAGCTTGGTGATAAAATAGAGGAAATCCGTCCATGAATATTCGATGAAGGTGGCGTCTCGCGGTAGTTTGAAAGCCAGGGATTGAATTTTGATTTTTGGACGGTCTTGATGTAAAGGATTTGCGCAATTTTAGACGCTACAGATCTAAAGAAAATGTCGAAGTAGAACCCTCATAATTGACGTTAAGAGCCAGAGGTGATAAATAGGTTCACAATCTTCACCCTATAAATTTTATCGTTTTAGGTTTCATCGCAATTCTTTGTAAAGCATTACTCACTGGCGGCCATGTCAAGGCGTTGCTGTTTCGCTCTGAGCCGGCGACAGTGCAGGGTAAGCAGCGCTGCCCCCAGGGCCGCCAGGCACAGGGCGCCGAGGGCAGCCACCAGCGCTGCAGGGGGCGCCGACCCGCCGCCGGGCGGCCCGCCGAACGGCACGGCGGCAGTGGCCGGCGGCGGCGCGCTGGTCGGCCACCCCTGCACCGGGCCGACCCAGGCCGAGTACGGGCCGACGCCCGCGGCGGTGAACGCGGCCACGCGCACCCGCAGGTCAGGCCGGCCGGCCAGCCGCGCAAACGGTGCGCTGGTGTTGAACAACCTCTGCTGCGGCCGGCCCGAGGTAGGGTCCGCTGAGAGCACCAGCACGCTGTAGCCGCGCACCACTCCGTTGGTGTCGCTGTCTGCCAGCCCCGACCAGGTGATCAGGGTGCTGTCACCGTCAGTTGATAGTTGGAGGTCGTTCGGAGCTGCCGAGGGCGCTGCAAGAAGACGGACTGCGATCAGATCGTGACAGATATTTGTAGCTGGATAACATATGCCGTCAAATTATCGTGAACACATGGAGTTTAACGTGACGAGAAGGAGAAATAAACTCCGAAAGTTGACTTATAGCCAACGAGATTACTCTCATCGCTCAGGCCATCAGTTCTCCTCTAACTCGCCGGCTTACAAATGGCGTACTTTACTAGGGTCATGTACCCAGTCTGGCCCTGTGGCATGACCTTAAATCCAGCCGGACCGTCATTCTCAATGCCTCTCCAACGCCTCTGGCCTTTCATCTCTTTGATTCATCTCTTTGACTAAGCCCGCCATTCCTACAATCCGTTCCCTGGCCCGTCCCGCGGCCGAGTTGCCAATCCTACAATTCGTTCCGTGTCCCGTCCCGCGGCCGAGTTGCCATTCCTGCAATCCGTTCCTGGCCGGTGGCGCGGCGGAGCTGCCATTGCCACCGTCTGTTCCCCCTGACCGGGCCGTGGCTCCACGGGTAGCCGGCCGTGCGCCGCGGCTGACGGTCTCAGTGATCTACACGGTGCCAGTCGGCCTGAGCCGGGGCTCACGGCACAATGGATGGCGCGTCCGAGCCACCGGCAACGTCAGAAGCCAGCGGGCGGGGTTGGATGGCGGCGGCACAAGTTTGTTCGGTCGGCGCCTAAATGGCGTCGCTTAGTGTGCACAGCACGCGGCGGGACCACTTTGCGGGATAGCTATGTCAAGTAACAGTGTTGCACTAAGTGTTTCATGATGAAAATGCAACTTGGCTCCGATAGCAAAACAATTCGAAACAGTAGGTATTGCCGTTGTGTCGTCAGTATAACCATTTCATTTTTAAATCAAAACCTGGCACATCACTATTTTGACAATATCCCGCAGGTTTCTAGTGTCTTTAAATTGATGTCTAAGAGCGAGTCGCAGAACTACGTCTCGTACTATGCATTTCGGTATTGTTTTTCATAATTAGACATTAGACCACCAAATTATTGCATCAACCAGGCCAAAATAACGCATGCCGCTTGGCTCAATATCTCAGAAAATTACAATTACCAGTGGCGTAAACAGCTGGCGGCTGTCATTCGCAGATTGGGGCATTTTTTCTACGCACTACAATACCATATTCCCAGCTCTCGGGAGTCGGGCCCCGTCTCGCCGCCCTACCCTCTAAACGTCTACAAGCAGCAGCGCGGCGCGGCGGTCAGTGGCGCGTGGGGCCGACATAACGCAGACACACTGCCGCCCCGACTGACGCGCGCCGCGAAAACATGGCTGCATCGTGTCCCAGCGGTGTCGTCAGGGGTGGCCGGTCGAGGGGGGAGAGTCGGACCATCATAGAGCGTTGGTCGCCGCGCCGCGCCGGACTGCCGGTGGGTGCGTTACACACTAATCGGATAAGATAGCTATGGATAATAAATGATGAGGGAGAGTGGATAGTGGTGTACCGCTGCAGGAGGGATCTCCGGCACATTGTTGCTCACTTATGGTAAGAAAATGGAACTCTGATAGATGTGGAATGAGGGTCTAAAGGAATTGCTTTTTATACTCAATGTAAGATATTAATTTGACTGTTACACCGACAGTTAGGCCGAGGCCGACTTCATCAAGTAGCGAGGGTGAAGCGTCTGATGTGCTTACCGGTCTCTGGCATCTGCACGTGCTGTAGGTTGCTCAGACGACCCTCGAGGCCCTGCCGAAAAGGCACGAGGAACACCTCATAGGCCTGGCCGGCGCTCAGGCGAGTCAGCACGTAGCTATCTGCTCCCCCGTTCAGCACCGGAACACGCTGCAGGACGGGTCCCGGCCGGCCGGGCAGCACCGGAGCGCCGCGAACCACTCGGCCCGGCGCCCCGATCCCGTCCCCGCCGCGTCCGGCCGCCGAGCCAGATATCAGGCAGATGTAGAAACCGTCCACCGGACTGGTGTTGGAGACCTGGGATGAAAAGAGCCACGGGTTATTGCCAAAATTGCCCAAATGGTGTACCTAGTGCGAGCTTGGCACTCATGATGCTTTGGTACGTCCTGTGGAATGCATATACATAGCTAAAACGAGGCCATTTTAATTAGTACAGGCATTGGCATAGTGGAAGGAAAAGTTTTTGCTAACTTGATTCTGACAGCTTTTTTGACAGCAAGATGTAACCAAGATTTTCACGGGTGGTGTGTACTGTGTAAGAAAGAGCTGGAGACAAGAGTTGGGAGATTGATACAGAGGAAAGCTATCGTTGTCTCCTGGCCCCAGAAATATCTAACCCACCTTCCAGGTGATGCGCACGGAGTCGGGTCTGACAACCTGCAGCTCTGCCAGGTGGACCAGGTCACGGTCAAGGTCGGAGCGTGACGTCACCTCTGGCGTGGGCGCTCCCCGTCTGCGCGGCGGTCGCTCTGAGTCGGCCAGAAGGACCCGGCCGGTGACCGAACCAGCTGCGTTTGTGGCGCCGCACACCCACCAGCCGAGGTCATCGGCGGTCACCGGCGCGATATATAGCTCGTGCTGCACAGAAGTCGACAGGCGACCCCGCTCCTGGCAGATAAAAATTGTGAGTTGGGAAATTTGGCAAGAGTAATGAATGATGGATAATGCTAACATCTTAGGAAAGCGTTTTATCTTTCATAATAAGGTGGAAAGTTTGTATTTCGATGCGCATATCTGTATCAGTTCGATAGAAAGAAATTCATTTTATGCGCAAAATTTCCGGAATGCAACGCCTCACCTGGTCGGCCAGAAGAGGTTCGAACTCTGTCTCTCTCCACCAGATGGCACGAGGAGTCGGCTGACCTCGCACGTGACACTGTACCGCCATATGTCCTCCGACAGTGGCAACTGCCTCAGACGGCATGTCGATGGTTGGAGCCTCTATGGGAGAGAAACATGTGTTGAGAGAAAAAGTATGTTGGTAAACGGATGATAAATGACAAATGGGCAGGATCATCGATTTCCCGTATTTGTTGTTCTTCTGGCATCTTGCACGAAAACATAAACGATCATCAGCCAATCTACCGTATTCAAACAGAAATACGGACAAAAACAACGTTACCATGACCCAGCAACCACACTGATCTTATTGACCGTGTCCAAGACTCACAAAGATCCCATAAGATTCGACAATATTCGACCGACCGTACCCTGTATGGTGACCGTGACGTTGGCAGTGACCCGACCCACGCCGTTCTCCGCCTCACAGATGTAGAGACCGGCGTCCGAACCTCGCAGGTGGTCAATCCGCATACTGTTCTCCTGACAAAAACACACATGGCTGGTGATTACTAGGTACTGATTTTCTCGAAACTAATATGATTTATTTTTGCAAACGTCAACACACCTTTCTTTTCTTTTCTTTTAGGGTGGTTGGCAATGTTTCGAAAACTTGCGTGTACATCAGCCGATGTCAATTCTTAACAATATCCTAACTTGCCGCCGAGCGTAGGTCGACTAGCCGGAAGTGTCTCGGATATTGGGAAACTCTTGATTCAGATTAGCGATTGACTTTCACCCATAGCACTCCGTGGGGACGGACCGGCCCGCATTATCGACCGGTGCATCGGAAACTCTCCGTCTCAAGTTTGACAATACCCGTTTGGAGTGCCAAAACTTGGTGATGACACAATATTGCAGTATACACTTATACTGTATACAGACACATCTCTGCTTTAGTTAGAAGGGCTTCACAGTGGCGGCGGAACACCCTCAATGAAGGGGGGGGGGGCACTGCCGACTTTTGGTCCTAATGCCAAAATCAAAGAGGGCACGGTGCCCCGGTGCCCTCCCCGTTCCGCCGCCTATGGGGCTTCATCATTACTCATTTTAAATTGAAACAAATACTAGGCTTTGTGACGTCAAAAATATAATGGTGACAAGAGGACTATGTTTTGCCCCTTTCAATGCATTCTGTAAAGTGTCTAAAGGTAAAAAGGAAATATCAGCACTGGTGATCTCAGCAACGTCATAGCAGTTAATGCCGTAGCATCAGTGCGTTATTCCGGTGAGCTTGAATGTGAAGCATTTTGGTGGACATATCATGCTTTTGTGCTCATAGCTGATAGCCATCTTGCTTTTGTGCTCAATGGGCAATGGCTCATTAGCAACAGAGGTTGTGCCATTTTTACTGATGAAGCCAAGTTTGAAATTACACATATAAACATGCCAATGCATTGAAATGTCGAGTACGAGCGCTCAGCCTGATAAAATCGAAAGCATGTGCGCCGTCCATATCAACCACCCTTACGCATAGGCTGTCCCGCCCAACGCCGGTGCGCTGCGGCACAGCCTATCTCTCAGTGAAACTGGCATGCCACATTAGCCGGGCCGCTGCGCCTGTCTCGGTCGCTGCACCCGACCAGCCGGCACCTACCTCCGTGTAGTGGAGTCGACCGACGGGCAGGGCCCCGTCGAGCCGTCGCCAGTGGACACGAGGCCGGGGCACGCCGGATACGTCACAGACCAGTACCAGCGAGCCGCCGGCCAGGCCCCGCGACGACTCGGGACGACGCACGAAGAACGGCTGCACTGGAACCGGACGGCGGGTGGGGGAATAACATTCCATCAGAACTCCGGCAGTGTTACCAATTGAGATTCGACAGGGTAATGGAAATTTACAAAGCGCAAATTACACAGCTTTGGGTTTTCTGGCTGCTGTGCTGAGATAGTTTATGTAAAGGAAATGCACCATGCAATACTTATTTTACACATACAAAAGCAGCCTTCATTCTCCGGATGGAGAATACGGTCGTCGAATGTATTTGATTTGTACATTTTGATTACATGCTTCATCACGCTAATTATTACCAGTCAGGGAATTGAAATTCACTTAGCGACTAGGACATCCTTCTCCACCAAATCTCTAAAACTTTTAGCATGGATAGTTCCGTAATGGGTCAGGAAAATGCAAAAGAATGAGCCATCTCACGGCAAAATATTCTCCGAGTGCATCCCCACGACGGGCTAAGTTAAACCATTCGGTGCATCTGTGACGCGCAAAACGGTCGTTTCTTTGCAAACTTGACCGTTCGGCTTGAATAGTTAATGAGATGTCGTCGACTGGTTCTGGATAGTACAGAGGCGGTATGCAACTTCTGGCGTTAGCTGAGCTGCAACTAGCTGGGCTGAGCAACCGGAGAGAGCTATGGCACATACACACGGTACACGGTGCAAGCAGCGCACGCGTGGGTGGGAAGGTATATGACCCAGAGGGAATGGGTTACAGGGAAAGAAAGTTTCGTGTGTGAGGCCATTTAAAGCTGTTTGTCTATAGATACCCAACTCTAACTTACAGTCTAACTCTACCGACCGTCACCACGAATCACGTAACACCTCCACGTACCGAGAACGGTGAGCACGGCCTCTCTCGAGCGGCGTGCTCCCAGGACGTTCTCGGCGAGGCAGACGTAGCGTCCCGAGTCAGAAGGTCGGCTGCTGAGGATGTACAAAGTGGAACCCCTCTGCTGCACTCTGAGGCAGAGAGAGGGTGTGAAATAGATACAGAGAGATAGAGAGAGAGAGAGATAGAGAGAGAGAGAGAGAGAGAGAGGGAGAGAGAGAGAGATAGAGAGAGAGAGAGAAAGAAGGAAAGAAGGAAAGAAAGAAAGAAAGCAAGAAAGAAGGAAAGAAAGAAAGAAAGAGAAAGCAAGAAAGAAAAAACAAGAAAAAAAGAAGAAAATGTGAATTACATATAGATAAGATAATAGATATAGATAGTTAATATATAGATAGACCAGATATACATAGATAGAGATGATAATAACAGAAAGGTGAGGGATCTATTTAAATACTACTCATACATATTGACTACATAATTATCAAGTAAATAGCCATCCTCTCTCACCGAAACTTACCTCTCTCCAGTCAGTAGCGGCAGGTCATCCTTGATCCAGGTGACCTTGACCTCCGGATGACCTCTGGGCGGGTCACATTTGAGCAGCGCCGTGCCACCCTGCTCCACTCGAGTGTCGACCGGCTCCTCTCGGAAGGTGTCTCTCAGCACTGTCAATGAAACGTGCACTTAGACGGAATAGTGAAAGGGGAGGAGTGGGATTTGTTGCATGTCTTGTATATGCATGTGCGCTTATATGCAAATATGCATAGTTTAACTCGACACAAAATAACGATTTCAGCACAAGCACTAAGTGTCCAAAGCTCAGAGAATTTCTTGCCATTTTAATGGCTAGCATTTACAGCTTGCAAACAACAATAGCTGTCACTTAAAGGGACCCTCCCACCTTCAAAAAAGTTTATGAATTGGCATGAAAGTGATGTCGCTCGGTTCAGAAAGAGCGAAAACGAATATCTACCAAATTTCACCGAAAAATATTCAACGGTTTTCAAGATATTAGACTTTTACTTTTGCTTACTTTTTTTTTGGGATCTCCACTGTTTCTAGCGACTTTATTTTAGAAGTGCGGCGTTTGCGGCAGATGTTGCGCGCAAATAGCATATACCACCGCGTGCTACAAAACGTTTTAGTCAAACATTTAAAAATCGTTAGATATTTGTGCTGACGTCACACATTCAGAGGGGTATCCCTAAGCATTAGCCGCTCTGAATCAAAATGCTGCAATTTTGAAATTCAATATTTCCGATTTAAGGCATTTCTCGATGTTGTGAATGCCGAAACCGGTAATTGTGAGCCAGGGACCCCATTTTGGCTATCTCAACTCAAATCTAATGTTAAGGTGGGAGGGTCCCTTTAAGCGCAAAGCTCATTGCGTTTTTATGTGCGTGTCAATAATAACATAAACGATGTCCCTTGACTTACTAGCGACGACAAGCGTTGCGTTTTGGCTCTCGGCCGATCCAGCGTCGTTCTCGGCCCGGCATTGATACACCCCTGCATCCCTCTCTTTAGCCGAGAGGAAGAACAGACTGCCCGGGGGCAGTGTGAGCCGGTCCGGACGGCTGGGGTCCACCGGCTCGCCATCTTGGAGCCAGAAGATGCGCGGCGGGGGCCGGCCGATCGCGCGACAGTTGAGGGTGACCGGCTGACCCCGGGCCACCACGCCGCTCACAGGTTGTTCAACCAGAACAGGGCGCTGCAGCCGGTCTGAGGAGGAGGAGGGTGAGGTGGCAGGTCAGGAGAGAGAGAGGGAGAGAGAGAACGAGAGCGAGACAGACAGACAGTCAGAGAAGGAGAGAGAGAGAGAGAGAGAGAGAGAGAGAGAGAGAGAGAGAGAGAGAGAGAGAGAGAGAGAGAGAGAGAGAGAGAGAGAGAGAGAGAGAGAGAGAGAGAGAGAGAGAGAAAGAGAAAGAGAGAGACAGAGAAGAACGCATGCCGGAAGGCATGCGTTCTTCCGGCAGTTGGCACACAAAGCGACATAGATTCACTTTATCAATTCAGGTTTGCAAAGACATTTATTTCTTATGCTATCAAAACATACCAACCCTATGTATTCTTCCATCCATCCTTGCATATTCCGCAGAAGAATGGTAATCGTATTACGAGAGATGTTCATCTCGCAAAACAAAACCGGTCCGAAGACGGTTGGTGCACGTAAACTCGCGCGCGCGGTGCTGGTGCAGTGACCAGTGGGCGCTGGGAGGTCGGAAAAGTGAGATACTTAAACGGAGTCTCTGGAAGGCAAGGTAGGTGAGTGTTCGGCTGGAGGTTGCCTTCGATTGATTGACACAATCGACTATTTAGCGACCATTTGCTTCTTTCAACCTAGCCTGAATACCATGTGAATGGTGATGTGGTGTCAGTTGTAGCGTGATTGAGACAGCCTTTCATAGGTTTTCATATCGTTGATTGTGTATGCGTGTTCTGTTCGTTTGCATGAAATCAAATTTTAATTTTATAACCTCCGTTGGACAAATATCAATTAATTAAAAACTATCAATGTAATGTTCCCAAGGTGACGAGCACCATTTCCTTTTTCAGCGGCTCATTGCAGCATAGATGATCGCCTTTTCTGGGCTGTCGCGGGACCTAATATAGCGTGACCTGGGGCGACTTGAAGTCCGACATCAAGCGCCTAACAGCATCATGTCACAACTGATCCCGAGAGCCGTGTTGGCGATGCTGGCTGTGCTGCCAATACTCGTCATCTCACACCAGAAGAAAGGCAACGAGCCGACCGTCATGATCGTGCTGCCGGTGCGCAACAAGGAGGCCTACCTGCCGTACACTCTGTCGCAGCTGAGCTTGCTCGACTACCCCAAGGAGCGGCTGTCGCTGTGGGTGGCCAGTGACCACAACCAGGACCGGTCGGCCGAGATCCTGCTGACCTGGCTGGAGCGGTACGGCCCTCTCTACTCGTCTGTGAAGGCGGCCGTCAACACTAGCTCCCCGCCGCTGCGGCCGGACGAACACAGCGCCGTGCACATGTCGCCCGGTCGACTCCGCGCCGTGGCTGATATGAAGCAAGAGGCGCTGCAGACGGCGCGCCAGCTCAGCATAGACCTGATCTGGTTCTTGGATGCCGATGTCGTCCTACACGACAGCACCGTCCTCCACCAGCTGCTCAACACGCAGAAGCCACTGGTGGCACCAATGCTGCGCTCTGTAGGACAACACTCGACCTTTTGTGAGGACGTGACAGATGGCTTTTCCTGCGTTGAGAGTGAGAGGTTCTCTGAGATCTACTCCCGCCAGAAGCGTGGCTGTTTCGCAGTGCCTTTGATCCACTCCTGTGTGCTGGTGGACCTTCGTGACCCCCGCACGGCTGGACTCACGTTCAGCTCAGATAGGTGCGGGACACGGCCAGAACGGGAGGCGCTCGACGATGCCGTCACGCTGGCGCTCTCAGCGCGTGATGCTGGTCTACAGATGACCGTGTGCAATCAGGAGGACTTCGGCCAGTTGCCGGTGCCGCTGACACCAACACAAGAGCCGAAAGACGAGCGACGCAACATGGTTAACATGAAGTTGAAGGCGCTGTTGGACTGGGGGCTGCCTCCAGTAGTGCCTCTCATGCGTCTTTTCCTGCCACACCTGCCCTCCAAAAGTCGACTGGGCTTCGATCGGATCTACGTCATCGGCCTGCAGCGACGTCCGGAGCGCTGGCGACGGCACAGCGCCTGCTTCGACGAGCTGGGCATCGAGGCGGTTCATGTACAGGCGGTGGACGGCCGCAAACTGACCGACGACATGCTGGAAAAGTACAACGTATCGACGCCCCGCAACAATGACTGGGGTGTTCGTCTCAACAAAGGCGAGATCGGCTGCTTTCTGAGCCACTACGGCGTGTGGCAGGATGTTGTTGACAGCGGTTTGGAGCGTGTTCTGGTGCTGGAGAATGACGCCCACCCGACAGCCGAGTTTCCCGAGCGCCTACAGCAGCTGGTGGCAGAGGCTGACCGACTCCGACCTCAGTGGGACTTCATCTATCTCTTCCGAGAGTTGCCTAGGAATGACGAGCCAGTGGAAGGCGCCGAACAGCTCATCAAACCGGGCTTCTGCTACTCGGCAATGGCCTATGTTCTGAGCAGGAAAGGAGCGGAGACACTGCTTCGAGACCGACCCCTGGAGAATATGCTCTGTGTGGATGACTACATCCCTCTGATGGCAGGCAACGCGCCTCACTCTAGGTGGATTGGCAGGTTCCCCAGTGCCGGTACGCTGAGGACATTCGCATCCAGGGATTACTTCATTCACCCAGCGAAAGTTCGCGGAGAGCCAGGATACAATAGTGATACGACGGAAGTGGACGGCGTGGTGGGCGCCCGGAGCTGTGCCGCCGAGGGGAATATGGATTCAGACTGTTATCGTCCGAATATGTAGATAGCTGCAAACAATGTTGAGTGCCCGGCTTTAGGAAATCATACTTACCATTATATTTGAGATAGCGATACTAACGACCTAGCGCAACTATGAGCCCTGCACGTGTGCACAGCGCAAGTGTGATGAGATCATACTTTCTTACGTGGGTCATGCTGTTAGCTAAATGCTGAAGATGTAACTGAAGTTCGTGCGCAATTGGCCAGGCCGTAATTGAGATAAATGGCCCCCTACAAAATTAATAGGTACTTCTTTATTTTGTACTTACGTAGCAGTGCATTGAGGGTCACCCACATGCATCGAGAGTAGTCCGATACGGGATGGAATGGAAGGAATGAAGCTCACGTTGATGATTCTACACCGATTACGAGTAATGACTAATGAGTGCCCAATTTGCTGAGCTCGGCATGTGCGCTCGCTTTCAGGATGTGCAGAATGGTGTGGGAATGGGATGCTACGATTATGAAGGAGACGGACCGTTCAATCGAACGTGCTATTGGTCTAAGAAGTAGGGTTGGGAAGATTCCACGTTTGTGTCATGTCGACGGTATGCATGTACTGGAAATATGTACTGTAGTCAAATTGGCGTGCAATACATACAAACAAAATGTGCAGAGCATTACAGTATGGAATAAAAACCATGACATAAATGCCTTTTACTTTCTCGGTCATAGCCAACCTAAATCATCCTTCACTGTAAAAAATGTTACAAGCCCATTCTATTATTAGCAGTGGGTTAACCCTCGTCGGCACAGGCCATTTCGTAAAGTGTGGCTGCTATGGGGTTTTCCGGTGTGTTGATCACGAATATCGTGTTAGTTTTGATCAGAGATGATGTCTTTAAGCATTTAGACCAGGTCGGGTCAGGTCAGGTCAGGTCAACCGGTGGGGGTCGTGACGGTTATTTGTAATACGTATTAACCACTTCTGACAGCTTCGTAACATGTTACGAAGGCACCAAAACTACTTCGTAAATGTTCAAATGGTTGCTAAATTCGAAATCAGCTCCAAAAACTAGCCTAGAAACATGTAAAACTCGAAAAAGTGAACCGAGGTCACCCGAGGTCACCAAAGGTCAATGACCTGACCTGACCTTCAGGTGACCTTGACATCCACCCTAATGCATGGGAGCAACATCAAATCACATGTTTGAACGTTTGAAACCACGAAAAGCTTGCAAACGCGCGGCTAATGCGAGCCGACATACGCCGAATCGCGATTCCGGCCAAATATGGTCTCGGAAAGTAGATCACAGGTCAAAGGTCATTTGGGTCAGGGTCATGGAATTTCCAGGGTAGGTGTAAAATTGATCAATGCGAGGGTACAAAAAGTTTCATTGCGATCGGCCTCTTTTTACGCGAGTTATTCGCGAAAAACCTTATGGTGGGTTGCATCAACCCCCCCCCCCCGTGAGAGCGAGGGTTAAGGCCGCCGTCCACTGGTTAGGCGCTTATTTTGCGCGTAATCGTCCAGTGCCTAGTACGCGCTGAAAAGCTCAAGCATTTCAAGTCGTCAGGAGAAGTAAAATAATCTTGAGTCGTCAGTGCATGATTCGGCGCCTAACAGTCATCGCATAATCAGCTGAATGCGATTCATTGCGCCTGCGGCGCTGAGCCGCGTTCGGCGCGCAGCCGATAGACTCCAATTCGTTGATATATCGGTCGATACCAGCGACGGTGTCAAGCAAAATTTAAAACGACCTCTTTACAGCTCTTATTGTATAGTTTCAACACTCAAAATAATATAAAAACGTTGTTAAAATAAAACGGACACAATTAAAACACATATTACTCGGTGTGACATAGCTCTAGCCCGAGGAAGACAACCATGCTTCATTATCAGGGCGGGCAATGAGGCTTATTTATGTATTTCGCCCACCAACTAATAGGACTAAAGAACCACAATGCAATCATTTCGAAATTTGCCAAGACGGGCACCTTTTTTATCACTTGCTGCTATGAGGTTCTGAACAAAGCTGTTTTCGTTGTGGGGTAAATTGAAAGAAAAATCGCGGTAAACTTTGATAATATTACCAGTGCATAGTACATGCTCAGCTTGCAAACGAGACGTGTATACATGTATTGATTGATGCTCGTATGCATCCGCGCGTCAGCGCGTACGTCCGCGCAATAGCTAGTGATATGTCATCAACAAGGCGCGTGTCTGAAATGAGGATTGCACGATTGCTTCTTTAATAATGCTGTCTTTCCACGGACCACCTCTGCCTCCAAGAACAAACTACATGAATGGATAATTTATAAGCATGCATTGTTTGTCTTCTTGATACATAAAGCGTAAATACACAGCTATCACATATATTTCACTACAGCTATGGTTATCAGTATGCTGTTCAAAAATAACTACAGATTCGGACGATAACAGTCTGAATCCATATTCCCCTCGGCGGCACAGCTCCGGGCGCCCACCACGCCGTCCACTTCCGTCGTGTCACTGTTGTATCCTCGCTCTCCGCGAACTTTCGCTGGGTGAATGAGGTGGTCCCTGGATGCGAATGTCCTCAGCGTACCGGCACTGGGAAACCTGCCAATCCACCTAGAGTGAGGCACATTGCCCGCCATCAGAGGGATGTAGTCGTCCACACAGAGCATATTCTCCAGGGGTCGGTCTCGAAGCAGTGTCTCCGCTCCTTTCCTGCTCAGAACATAGGCCATTGCCGAGTAGCAGAAGCCCGGTTTGATGAGCTGTTCGGCGCCTTCCACTGGCTCGTCGTTTCTAGGCAACTCTCGGAAGAGATAGATGAAGTCCCACTGAGGTCGGAGTCGGTCAGCCTCTGCCACCAGCTGCTGTAGGCGCTCGGGAAACTCGGCCGTCGGGTGGGCGTCATTCTCCAGAACCAGAACACGCTCCAAACCGCTGTCAAAAACATCCTGCCACACGCCGTAGTGGCTCAGAAAGCAGCCGATCTCGCCTTTGTTGAGACGAACACGCCGTTCATTGTTACGTGGCGAAGAGATGTTGTACTTTTCCAGCATGTCGTCGGTCAGTTTGCGGCCGTCCACCGCGTGTACATGAGCCGCCTCGATGCCGATCTCGTCAAAGCAGGCGTTGTGCCGGCTCCAGCGCTCCGGACGTCGCTGCAGGCCGATGACGTAGATCCGATCGAAACCCAGTCGACTTTTGGAGGGCAGGTTTGGCAGGAAAAGACGCATTAGGGGCACTATTGGAAGCGGCCCCCAGTCCAACAGCGCCTTCAACTTCATGTTAACCATGTTGCGTCGCTCGTCTTTCGGCTCTTGTGTTGGTGTCAGCGGCGCCGGCACCTGGCCGAAGTCCTCCTGATTGCACACGGTCATCTGCAAACCAGCATCACGCGCTGAGAGCGCCAGCGTGACGGCATCGTCGAGCGTCTCCCGTTCTGGCCGTGTCCCGCACCTATCTGAGCTGAACGTGAGTCCAGCCGTGCGGGGGTCACAGAGGTCCACCAGCACACAGGAGCGGATCAAAGGCACTGCGAAACAGCCACGCTGCTGGCGGGAGTAGATCTCAGAAAACCTCTCACTCTCAAAACAGAAAAAATCATCTGTCACGTCCTCACAAAAGTTCGAGTGTTTTCCTACAGAACGCAGCATTGGTGCCACCAGTGGCTTCTGCGTGTTGAGCAGCTGGCGGAGGACGGTGCTGTCGTGTAGGACGACATCGGCATCCAAGAACCAGATCAGGTCTATGCTGAGCTGGCGCGCCGTCTGCAGCGCCTCTTGCTTCATATCAGCCACGGCGCGGAGTCGACCGGGCGACATGTGCACTGCGCTGCGTTCGTCCGGCCGCAGTGGCGGGGAGCTAGTGTTGACGGCCGCCTTCACAGACGAGTAGAGAGGGCCGTACCGCTCCAGCCAGGTCAGCAGGATCTCGGCCGACCGGTCCTGGTTGTGGTCACTGGCCACCCACAGCGACAGCCGCTCCTTGGGGTAGTCGAGCAGGCTGAGCTGCGACAGAGTGTACGGCAGGTAGGCCTCCTTGTTGCGCACCGGCAGCACGATCATGACGGTCGGCTCGTTGCCTTTCTTCTGGTGTGAGATGACGAGTATTGGCAGCACAGCCAGCATCGCAAACACGGCTCTCGGGATCAGTTGTGACATGATGCTGTTAGGCTCTTGATGCCGAGATTGAAGTCGTTTTAGGTCACCTCATGGAATGGTTGGAGATGACTCATCAACCCAATGATCCACTGAAAAAATAGCATTCTTAGTTAACATTTATGTTCTTTCAGTAACATTTCGGACACTTTAAATAATTTTAAAATGATGGGCGTACATGCGAACATTTTCAACTTGAGGCTCGAATTCATACAAACGAACAATCACACAGGCATGCAAAGTACAAACGCAACGACATAACAACGTAAATTCCATATTAGTCGTGCTTCTTCTAATACCACATCGCCATTCCTATAACATTCAGCTCAAGCTGTGGTACACAAATAGCTGATTGGCCGCCAATGGATAAATGGCTAAGCGACAAAGAATGAAGAGCTGACAATGAATAGAAATTTAATCCCAGCTGGACGCTTACCTTGGCGGTCAGAGCCGTCTGTTAGAGGTCTCTTCCCTTCCCGGCCTCCCAGCACCCACTGGTCACCGACGCCGAGCCCGCATCCTCACGCACACAAAGTCTGTTGAACTCTACGTGAAAACACGGGGCCAGTTTACCCTGATCAATATCTTCGGCCGGTAGATGACGTCCTTACAGGCTACCCTTCAGCGGTAGGGACGAAGGGACATACCACGGTGATCTCGATGTGATTTGAGCCCGAAGTATGAGTAGGTGTGCCTAAATGCTAATTATGTTTACTCTTTTCTGACCTGTGACTTCACCAGTGACCCCAAGGTCAGCAAAAATATATTCGAATCGACAGTTTTTCCCAGCCACCAGACACCATTTAATATTTATTCACTTTCGATGACAACACAAAAGCAAATATTCTAAATAGCCAGACGTTTCAGCCTCAGGGTGCCTTCGTCAGTGACAATATCGAGATGATTAATTTATTAATGTATTAGTATCTCGATATTGTCACTGACGAAGGCACCCTGAGGCCGAATCGTCTGGCTATTTAGAATATTTGCTTTTGTGTTGTCATCGAAAGTGAATAAATATCACAATGTCTGACACGATACATACACCATTTAAAGTTTGAAAATCGAGCCAGTAGTTTAGGGTGGAGGAGAGAGGCTCTCAAGAGCCGCCATCATTCGCCCTATAAGCATACCCCAGTTATGCCCGGGTTAATAATGATTGTCCTTTAACGTTGATTGACTGATATTTGATACATTAACCCTCACCCGTTTTGGTGTTTTGCTAGCCGTGAACGTATATCATGTTAGTCCGTTGGACCTCCCCCCTTGCCGTTTGGCCCCTGATCGAGCTAGAGCTTCGCAGAAAAAAAACGAGCGTGTTACCCGTGACGAGAGGAGGCCATTGACACCCAATTTTAAGGTCCTAGGTCATTGGTTGACCTTCCAGGTCAGGTCAATGACCCAAAAGTCGGGAAAATCGGGACCTATTAGAACGTCGTAAAGTGTGGCTGCTGTGGAGTTTTTCGGGGTGCTGATCACAAATGGCATGTTCGTTTTGATCACAGATGATGTCTTCATGCATTTAGGCCAGGTTGGGTCAGGTCAGGTCAGGCCAACCAGTAGGGGTCCTGCCAGGTATTCGTAACGTGTCAACTGTCAACCACTTCTGACCGCTTCATAACAAGTTACGAAGGCAGCAAAACTACTTCATAAATGTTCAAATTGTTGCTAAATTCGAATTCAGCTCCAAAGACAAGCCTAGAAACATATGAAACTCGAAAAAGTGAACCGAGGTCATCAAAAGTCAGTGACCTGACCTGACCAGTGTTCGCCACGGGCCGCAAAATCCCAGTCCAGCCCAGCCCAAGCCCATGGGTTAACAGCCCGGTCCAGCCCGAGCCCATTCATGGTAAAAGCGTCAAAGCCCAGCCCGGCCCAGCCCGTCAAAAATGAATGGTTTAAAAATTATTGACACCACACAGGTACCCATAGGAAGCAAAGAAACAATGCTTTGCGAGCAGCATGCACAATGCACATTACATGCGTGCTTTATTAACTCGTTTTTTAGTCTTGCACAGTAATAAGCTATGTAGTTATAATTTTTGTCTTAGTTGCGAACCCCTGACTCCACTTTACAGTTCTTGGCCCAGCCCATCCACAGCCCATCGATCCTTCATATATGAGGGCCCAGCCCAGCCCGTAGCCCAGCCCAGCCCATGGCCCATTGGGCTGGCCCGGCGCATGGCGAACACTGGACCTGACCCCAACATCATATCAAACGTTTGAACGCTTGAAACCACGAAAAGACTGCAAATGCGCGGCTAATGCGAGCCGACATACGCTAAATCGCGACTCCAGCCATGATATGGTCTCGAGAAATAGGTCGCAGGTCAAAGGTCATTTGGGTCAGGGTCATGAAATTTTCAGGGTAGGTGTAAAATTGACAAACTCGAAGTTGAGAGTATGAAAGATTCGTCACAATCGGCCGCTTTTTACGCGAGTTATTTGCGAAAAACCGAGGGGGATTGCAAGGGGGATCCGGTCGACCTCCCCCCCCCCCTATTGGGGCGAGGGTTAATGAAAGAAAACAATGTCATTGATATTCTTTTTCATAGCGTGCAGTGTGCAGTGGACGCACTTTCAATATGAGCACAAACTCGAGAAATTTGACGTTTAATTGCAGATATTAAAATGCTGGCCACCAAGTCTGCTGACGTATTTGACGATTCGAGCGCCCAACTCATAGACAGGCTTGAGTTGAGCATCAGTCTTCTACAGCAAGCTTAAAACTTATCCAGCCAGGCTTCTGGTCCCAGAAGTGAGTCGAACTGACCAAAACGCCGACAGCGATTTCACCCGAAATAGTGGCAGCTCGTGTGACTATGATGATGTTCACTGACAGATTCAGTCCAGGGAGTTGAGTGTTAGAAGTTCATGTCCCTGCAGCAGAGGTGCTCAAATGAACAGACTATTTATCCTCCGTGTTACCGGCTTGCACGACATATGAGCCACCCAGTTTGATTCAGGTTCCAGCATCCTCAACAATTTTCATATGAACCACCTCGACTGCTACAAGCTTCCCACACACGATATGAACTACTATACATCAACTAATCCAACATCCCCAATCAGCTTAACTCCATCTTTTCCGAATATTTCCCCGAACGCGCCTGGCGGGCCTCCCGGAGAGGCACCAGAAACCGGTTTGGCATTACCCGAACCGACCCCCGAGCTAAAACCTCTTCAAAGTTGTTCTGCAGTCTGCACGCCCGAGTGGGCTGGCTCGGGGCTGATAAAGGGACTGGGTCGGGTCCGGTTTTGCTGGACTAAAATATCCAGCCACACATAAACGGCTGGACTTGTCTGTTGGCCCCAAGATATCGCGATCTTGGACCGACGCTAAGCGACAAGCAGGCTTAGGTGTACGTACGTTTGTTATCATCTATCTGCTTAACTGGCTAGGACAAACATATACAAGTCTGCGCGAGCTGCAGGTGTTTCAAATTCATTTGGTGAATTAGTTGTTGGCGACGAAACCTGTCCACGATTCGGCGCGGGCCCGACGGCGCACGATCGGCTCATGTCGCTGATCATAATCATGTTTACCCAGCCCCTGCCCTCGCGGTACTGTGCATCACTGTCCGAGGCCTAAGGCTCGGGAGTCGGACCTTTCACCCGTCCCGTGGGCCTGCGGCTATGCGCATATCCTAGAGCCGGGCAGGATGATTAATTGATTAAACGTCTCACTTAATGGCAGCTGCGGTGAGGTCCAGCCACCTCTCCTCTACGTGGTAGGTATGGCTCGATCGGAGTATAAAGAAAATCTGATAAGCACATTTGGATGTTCTTATCAAACGGCCAGCTCAACATACAGTCACTGAAACCGAAGCTCCTGTCACTGAGGCATGACATTGCCGAGCACGGATATGACCTGGTAATTCTGAATGAGACTTGGATGAAGCCTGCGACACACAACAGGCTGATTCCGATCCCCGGCTACCAAGTGTGCCGGCGTGACCGTCCCGATGGCAAGGGCTACGGTGGAGTTGCCACGGCGATTAGAGCTCCGCTGGAGGCAACCACCGTGGAAACACCTGACCCGCCTGTTGCCGGTACACGGCTGGAGACCCTCTGGGTCCAGGTCCGTGCCGGCCCGGCCCGTGTCATGGTGTGCGCGGTATATCGGCCACCGATCCAGACCCAGGCCAGAGTGACAGCCGACCTGGCGGAGCTGGAGCAGCAGCTCCAGTACATTCTCACTCGGCACAGTGGTCCAATTGTGATCGCCGGGGACATAAACATCAATATGAAGACGGACAGCGCGGCGGCGGAGCAGTTCCGGCAGCTGCTGCGCGGCTACTCCCTGCAGCAGCACACCACCGAGCCGACGTTCCGCGCGTCTGGCTCCATCATCGACGTCATAATCACCAACCAGAGCGTCGACCGGGCAGGTGTTGTCCACTGTGATTACAGTCCCCATAACTGGTCGCGAGTGTTGCTGTCCGTGTCGGACCAGAGGCCACAGCCCTGCACCATTGCCACCAGGTGCTGGTCCAGGTTTGACGCGGACGAGGCCAATCGCCAGCTGACGGAGGTGGACTGGACTCCAGTGTATGCGAGTGACAGCCCGGAGGAGCAGTGGGACTACCTACTCGCAGTGACACGACCCATTCTGGACAGACTGCTCCCGGAGAGACGTGTCAGGGTGCGGAACCCGGTCGCCCCGCCAGTCACTGATGCCACCAAGGAGCTCATGGCACAGCGGCGGGCTGCACTCCGGGACGGTCACATCGACACCTACAAGCAGCTGAACCGCCAGGTCCGGTCGGCGATACGGCGCGACACGCGCGAGGAGCTGGAGCGGCGCGTGGACCGGGCCGGGCCGAGCGGTTTGTGGCGCAGCGTGCAGCCCATAGTGGCTCCGAAGCGGAGCGACAGATCCACCCCCGCCGCCGACGCCGACGAACTAAACCGGTTCTTTGTGGAGGTGGGCCCGAGGACCGCTCGACAGGTGACAGCGGCCGGCCCGGAGCTGCCGACCCGCCTGCCGCGCGTCTCCACTGGGGCTTTCCAGGTCACCCCGATATGCCCGGACGACCTGCGCCGAGTGGTGGGGAGAATGCGGAGCAGTAAGGTGTGCGGTGCTGACGGACTTTGCGTGCATTTTATAAAACAGTGTCTGCCGTCGCTGTGCCATATTTTAACGCACATTGTCAACTCGAGCCTCGTGTCACATCATGTTCCTCGCGCTTGGAAACTGACGCTCGTACATCCGATTCAGAAATCGACTAAATCTACCGACATTTCAAACTACCGACCGATTTCTATTTTACCGACTATCGCCAAGATCACCGAACGTGTTGTGTACGAACAGCTTTTTTACTACTTCTCATCACATCACCTGTTTTCTTCTAGTCAGCATGGTTTTAGGCCGAACCATAGTACAGATACCGCGCTCCTTACCGTCACCGACTCAGTTTTTACCGCGATGGATCATGGCAAAGTTGCTCTTATCTCATTACTCGACCTGTCAAAGTGTTTCGATGTTA